GTTAAATTATCCTGCTTTTTATGTTTTACCCGGACAGAAGTTTGTTCAACATTGCTTGAGTAAAAAATATCATTGCCATTGATTGGTCTGTGAGGCTAAGAAAAACAACTTTTCGTTGCAAAAAACTAACACAGGCGATCACATCTTTAGCAAAGTGTGATTGCCTGTATCAACTCGTCAGGGCTGTGCTACATCCAAATCTGCAAACAGCCTGGTTTTGGAAAAATCTATTATAGTATCAAACATGGTTTTTAGTACTTGAAATTTTTTATTTATTTTTCTGACCACGCAAGCACTTCCTCTAATTCTTTAACACGCTGGATTATGTCAACGGTTTGTCTTGGTATATTTTTTACTTTAAAGAGGTAATCTTTTCCTACAAGATAGAAAGTTTGCAGGGACAAGAAAGAATCTCAAAAAAAAAGTTACAGGGGGTAGGGTAAGAAGGGATATCATAGAAAGTTTGCAGCACAAGAAAGGATCTCATAAAAAAGTTGCAGAGATAGGGTAAGAAGGAATATCTATTATAACTATTATAGTAGTTAAAGCAAAAACTTATCACAACATATTATATATGCTTTTTGGCATAGTCTTAAAGTTAGTTAGTTAAGCTACACAAAGCCACAGCCTTGTTAAACTCATCATCATAACATTATCTGACAGAGCATTCCAGTCATTTACTACATGTTTGTTAAGAAATTTATCTGACTTTGCAGTTTCTGACAATCTCGCAATAAAATCTAATTCGATGTTGAGCTCTAGGTGCTATACTGCAAGGCTTTACATGCCAATCAATTAGGTTTTAACTACCGAGAAACTTATATTGGTGAATAAAATCGTCTCTTCCCCATCTGTCTTCAAGAGTAGCTAATTTCATCATTTTGCATCAAGTTTTGTAGTCTGCTTTTTAAAGCCTGAGGAACTTTCGTAGCTTTGCGTTAGTACCTTTTCCATTTTTTTTAATGTCATTATCAAGATAAGTGTTCCAAGCTTGTATGGCAAACTCCAGATGTGATCTAATATATACAGTATAAATTTTTTTCAAATGATTTTTGGTACCGACGTGTGTTCAATAATTCCGATCATGTTATTTGCTTTGTTTGCAGTTATATTGCACTGTTGTTTAAGGTTCTTAGAGATTAGAATTCCAAGATTTTTTTGGGAATTTGTGATTTCTAAAACTACTGTGTTGGTTGTTCTGTCATTTTTATGATTTCATCCATAAAGCAATCAAATTTTATTGTTCCAGAGTTAACATGCACAACTTTACACTTTTTTATATTTAAACCATTAGCCAGGTTTGCGTCCATTAAACAACCTTGTCTAGATTAATTTGTAAACTTGCTTGGTCTTCATCGTTTTAGACAACTTTCATAAGCTTTGTGTCATCTGTGTACATTTTTAAAATAGCTGATTTGACATGAATCGACATGAATTAGCAAATATGACAAAGACTATTGGCCTAAAACAGAACTTTGCGGAACACCGCTAGTTACTTCAACCCAATTAGATATTGAATCTCTAAGTATAACACGCTGCTTATAGGTTGTCAAGAAAGCTTTTATCCAATTTGGAAGATTGCCATTTACACCATACATTTCAAGCTTTTGAAGCAGTCTAACATGCCAAACTTTATTGAATGTCTTTGCAAAGTGAAGAAAAATTTCAACTGGTTTCTTCTTTGAATTATTGACTTTTTTGAGTCAAAAAGCCCATTGTTTCTAAAAGTTTTGTGATGCAAGTTTTTTTTGACATAAAACCATGTTTTGTTAAGGAAAGCAATTTGTTATTTAACAAATGATCAGTTATGACTTTTTTTAAAATAACAGAACTATTTTTTTAAAATAACAGAAGTGAGTGATATTGGCAGGCCAATATCGCTAACAGGCTAGATCTGTTCTGCAACCTTTTTTATAAATAGGTGTAACATTAGCACTGAGCCAAGATTATGGAACGTTGCCAGATTTTAATAAAAGTTGAAAAACCAAAGTTAGCTTTACAAGTTATTATTTTATTATTATTTGTTTAATTGCAATATAATTAGATAAATATATAAATTATAATATATAAGTATAATACATACAATTAACATTATTTGCATAATTGTTTATTTGATTTCAAGTCTTGTGAGAGCATAGTTTATTTGAGCAAAAGTTTTTATTTTCTTTCCAATTTTATTTTTTGTTAAGTTTAATTGTTAAAGTTATAACATACATACAATGCTATTAATTACATTTTGAAAATTTTACGCTCACCTAATCTTATTATTATAGAAATAGCTGACCAGACCCGGAAGTGTTTTATTTTGTATTTTAGAAAAATCAAAAAAAATTGGAAAAAAAAAAAGGTTCCTGTGGTAGGATTTGAACAACGGCACTTTGCTTCTGAAACTTTGCCAGCTAACCACTCGATCGCACAGGCGTGTTGTCTGATGAATATTTTAACTATTCATACTTAGACTATTAACCAAACAAAAGACTTTATAAAAAGGATAAAAAGGATAAAAAAGATTTATAGCAATTTTCAAGTGAAAGTAAAACTTTTAAAAAGTAAAAGTAAAACTTTTAAAGTTTTAAGTTTACAAAATTTGAAGTTTACGTAAGTTAGTTATTTGCATTTCGTTCACCTTTTCTTACAAAAAAAAGTGCTGAGACTCTTTCTCGCCACTACCTCAGTTGCAATGGCTGCCAAAGGCATTATTATGAAGAGATTAATTTATAATCATATATAATGTTATAACATAGATAAATTATTACATAGATAAAACTTAAGCTCTATAAATATTAGTGAAATTTTCTACTTTACTTAAAGAGATCAAAAAATTGTTATAAAAAAAGTAAAAACTGTAAATCTTTACCAAGTGTTCGAGATAAAACAGGTAGAGCAGAACTCATCACCAACAAAATAATGCAATTTAAAATTAACTAAAGAAAATATATATATATATATATATATATATATATATATATATATATATATATATATATATATATATATATATATATATATATGTATACATATATATATATATATATATATATATATATATATATATATATATATATATATATATATATATATATATATATATATATATATATATGGTAGAATATATATATATATATATATATATATATATATATTATATATATATATATATATATATATATATATATATATATATATATATATATATATATATTAGGTTGGTTGAAAAGTTCGCGGAGCGGCACCTATGTTGCAGTAGTAGAAACAAATTTATAACTGTATTAAACGTATTCATTCTTCGTATGAACGCATAAAAAATTTCAAGTCGATATGTCATTTCAGTCTTTGTTTACAAGCTATTGAAATTAGACGTGTCATAGTATTTTTTAAAATGGAAAATATTGAACATCGTGCTGTAATAAAATTCTTTGTGAAAAAAGGTTTAAAGCCCATGGAAATTCATAATGAAATGGTAAATGTGTTGGGTGATGATGCTCCTTCAAAAACAACAGTATGCAAATGGGCTGCGGAGTTTCAACGTGGGCGTTCAAGCCTTGAAGATGACCCTCGCTCTGGACGTCCAAAAAGTGCTACTACTGAAGAAACGATTAATGCTGTGCATGACATGGTTATGGATGATAGACGATTGACCAAACGTGAAATTGCTGAGGCTGTGGGCATCTCAGATGAACGGGTATTACACATCTTGCACGATGAATTACGTCTGAGAAAGCTGTTGGCAAGATGGGTGCCGCATTCGCTAACTCTGGATCAGAAACGCACTCGAGTAAAACTTTCTCAAGAACATTTGGCCCGTTTTCAAAAGAATAAAACAGATTTTGTGCGTCAATTCGTAACCATGGATGAGACTTGGGTTTACCACTATGATCCGAAGCTGCGACAACAAACTGCAGAGTGGACAGAACCCGGTTGTTTAGCTCCGAAGCAAGTGAAGGTGTCAAAATCGTCAAAGAAGGTTATGGCATCAGTTTTTTGGGATGCGAAAGGAATTTTATTAATAGATTACCTTCAAACCGGTAAAACGATAACAGGTGAATATTATAAAAATCTTTTGGACCAGTTGGATAAAAAAATTCGTGAGAAAAGACCTGGTTTGCTGCATAAAAAAATCATTTATCACCAAGACAACGCACCTGCTCATATCAGCGATGTTGCAAAGGCGAAATTGGTCGAATTAAAGTACGAACGCTTGAAACATCCACCCTATTCACCAGATCTGGCTCCGTCCGACTTCCCCCTCTTTCCACATCTCAAAAAATTTCTACGTGGAAAGCGTTTCTCATCACATGAAGAAGTCATTGCAGCCGTAAATGGGTATTTTGAAGGCCTTCCGGAATCGCACTTCAGAGATGGGATACATGAATTGGAGAATCGTTGGAAAAAGTGTATTGCTCTTAAGGGAGAATATACTGAAGAATAAAGTCATTTTTTGAATCATAAAATTGTTTTTTCATTTCCGCTCCGCGAACTTTTCAACCAACCTAGTATATATATATATATATATATATATATATATATATATATATATATATATATATATATATATATATATATATATATATATATATATATATATATATATATATATATATATATATATATATATATATATATATATATATGGGCAATTCCGTATAAGTGACAGTCATAATATTTGATACTTTTTAAGCTATTAAAAATGAACCAAAAATGGAAATAATTTGAAACTTTCCAGAAATGTGAAGAACTATCATATAATTTAGTATGCAAAAGTACAGCATTAAAGTCTTAAACTTTTATTTAAATTAACTCTAGCTAACGTGATGGTCATAAAGTTTACTTTTACCACTTCTGAACAAAACAATATTGTCAAACTTAATGCAGCAAATAGCATGGTAAAAAAATAAAATAATTTACTGTGTGTATTTAGCACATACTGATATTTTTATATGCTGAGTCTCATAGTTTTTACTTGAAGTTTCACAAGCATTGTTATATTTTTTTGTCATGATGGTCATAACCATGATGGCCAAAACACGTTTATACAACCCTTACAACATTAAAACCATAGTAAGTACAGTGGGCCAGTAGGTGGACTAAATGGAAAAAATTTTAGTTGTTTAATCTTGAAAACTTATTTAATTTTAATATCTATATATATTAGGAGAAATTTATTGATAATTTATTTTTATTAAATCCCTTAGTTACCAGGACTCTGATCATTTGAATATTGAAATTAAAGATTAAAAAAAGAATTTTATTTTTTGCTGCACGATAGCTAATAAATTGCCACAATTTGCCATGTGCTGTCTAATATTTATTTGAGCTATACGATGTTTTATTCAAGTTTCCATTGATTGCTCGTCCCTTTAAATCCCCATTCAAATTTTATGTTTTAACTTGTTGCTGGTGGGTCAAATATTCAATAAAATTTATTCAAGAATTAATTTACCCTTTTGTAACTAAGGAAAGTATATGGTAACTAAGCAATATATGTATCCATAGCAACTAAACAAAAAAATTTATCACTTTTATAAGAAATGTGATCTTATATTGGTACTCATGCCAAATTTAGTGAATATAGCATTTGTAAAATATCTGCAAATACCAAAATTAAATTGTTGCTAAGCAAAATAAAGGAATCCATAGCAAAAAAGTACAAAAATATAACCTTCATAAAAAGCGCAGACATCATATTAGTATTTATGCTAATTTTAGTAAGTATAGCCCTAATATCAAATTAGTTATGAATTTTGTCAAGTAAAAGTGATTTCTGACCCACTGTAGTATGGTATGATAAAATGATTTTTTTAAATATGTTTAATAAGTATTTTTAAATAGCTAAAAAAAGAGGTATGAAGTTTATGTGTTTTCATAACTTTTTTACTTTTTTTTCTCTTTCTCGCGAATTTGCCCATATATATATATATATATATATATATATATATATATATATATATATATATATATATATATATATATATATATATATATATATATACATATATATATATATATATATATATATATATATATATATATATATAAACATCAAAAACTATTTATATAGCAGTACATTAAAAAAAAAGAACACCTTTGTCATACTTGTGTTGTTCTTCTTAGGTGTGAGGTGCATAAAAAGAGGCGAACTATAAAATCCAACTATAGAAGCTGCCATTATGTAACTATTCAAGTCAAGACTAAATTGAGTAGAATTTTTGAACATATTTTATGTTTATGAATATTTTATGTTTATAAATATTTTATGTTTATAAATATTTTATAAACATTTTATTTTATTTTACAACAAAGACTTTTGAAACATTGCTTAAAAAATATATTTAATTTTGTTTTATTAAATAAATCTGTTTTATTAACTAAATAATCATAAATATTCATGTGTTAATTGCTTGTAAAATGTTGTATACAAAACTTTATGAAAAAAATTTAATAAATATTTTTATTTTTTTTTTGTCATAAGTGTATGTTTAAAAAATGTTTCTTTTGTAGAGGACTGTTCTTCTTTCAAAAAAAATTGATTTATTCTTGAAAAATTTTTATTTTATTTTTTCATTTATTGCATTATTTAAGGTAAATATTTGTAAGTGTAACAACTCCCAGAAAAGCAATGTCTAATCAACAATGCAAATGTAGACAAAGATGCAGAAATACTTTGAGTCTTTCAAAAATTTGAATGGTATAATTAAATTTAGATAGTAGCAGCAATTTTTGATTTGTCATCTCTGCATTACAAAATACACATTATGGCAGAGCCAAAGATTATTGGTCATTGATTGACCATAACAGTAAGAATATAAATGACTATTCCTTGACTGACACTGAAAAAATGTAATTATTGCTGGTAGGTGCCATTTGCAATATCGCAAGGCCTTGTTTGTAAAGGTTTATGTTTCATAATCTACAAATTTTTCCTTGTATCAAATATTTTTTCAAATATGACAACAGTATTCAATACAAGTATGAGTAAAAGATTTATAGAGGTAGAGAATTGAATAAAGAGTAAATAATGGGTGAAAACAATAAAGAGAGGCAACTTTGGATGTATTGCATATATGAACAGATTGTATATATGATTACCATGGAAGGTTGAAAGTAATAAGATAACATAAGAAGCTCTTAGCAAACTTTTTCCTTTGAGTTGAAACTCACTCGCTACTGCAACCACCAAGCTGCTACAGAAGTTGGTAATGGTGTGTAGGTCATGCACTTGCTTCATAAGCAAGAGGTTCTGAGTTCAATTCACACCACATACCCATTAGTATAGCACTCAACTTTTCAGTTCAGTGGCTTAGTTTGTCAAGGTCCGAGTTTTGGAGTTATAGAGTAAAAGAGAGGGTTATATCCACAATAAAGTAGCCTCCTTGTCTGTAGTGGCCTTCTTGACCTTGGCGAGGTGATTATTATAATAACCCTTTAACCCCAAACGCAAACCTTGACAAACAAGTCCAATCTTGAGCATGATAATTCCACAGACATGCTGTATTACATACCTTTTGCTTACAAGGCACTCTATCACTACACTACTACCATATATTACATTAGCAAGTAAAATTTAAAAAAATAGTTTAAACAAATATAAAATGAAAAGATACAATATAAGGAAAATTTGAAGTAAAATACCAAACCATCCCAACTTAGAAATTGATATTGTTCCCAATGGATACTAAAAAAATAACACTTAAACAAAACTTGGAATAAATAAGATAAATTGAAATTAAATAATTGAAATTTAATTGAAATAAAAAATAAATAAAATAAACTGGAATTAAATAAAATAAAATTAATAAAAAGCTATTTATTTTATATTTATAAACAAAAGTTAAAGTTTATAGAAAAAAATAATGTGTGTGCAGATTTTAACTTGTGTATGTACATGTATGTGTATGTATGTATGTAGATTTTAACTTATTTAGTGCCATTTTTGTTCAATTAAAACTTTTATTTGGAAAAGCTTTAAACCATTATCAATTTTTTTTTTTAACTTTGTCTTTAAATTTGAGCCAATTTAAACTTGGTATATAATAGAATCAGAAGCTATTTTCAAATTTGAAACAAAACATAACAAAAAAAACATTCAAATCAAATAAATTTAGTAGAAGAGGGGTCAAAATAGGTACTGGACATCACTGCCTCTCAAACCATTCTTAAAAACTATTAAAAGATGACAACCAAAAAACTCTGGAACTTTACATGATCATAACACAGCTAACTATCAAACAATCAAACTATCAAACATCGATAAACAATCAATAAAGAACTTAGCAAATATTTTGAATCTTAAAAATTCAAATAGTTAAATAAATATAATTAAAAACAGTGATTCAATATGAAAACTTCTTTTTATTATAAGTGATCAGCATTAATAATTTTTCAAGAAAAAAGTAAATATCCAAATTTCAAACAAATTATTGAACCTTTATAAATGTTTTTTTTTTTTTAATGATGAAATGCAATGTGATGATGAAGACCCAATGATTATGCACACTTTAAATTTTAAAGCGCTGTCTTTATTCCAGAAAGTTTTTAAGACAAAAAAAAACTGCTTTGTCCACAATAATCAACCCATCCCATTTTGACCCTCATGAACAAATTTTAATACACATGTTGTCTCAAAATGTTCCTAAGGTATTATTTTCCAGAAAGTCAACTATATAAATCTCTGATGCAAAGCTGGGACAATGTTGATGCAAAAAATGATATTGTGCTGTTGCAATTCAACTAAAAGAATGTTGATTGGAGAAACAGGCTTAATTGGCACTCAAAACTTGCAGGAACCAGATAGACTATAAAGTTAAGAATTAGTAAGGTAAGTATAAAATAATATCACTTTAAAATATCTTTATGCAAAGTCAAAATATATAAGTTTCTAATCAAAATTGAAAATTATTGACATTTAGACTTTTGAGAAGAGATTATTGTGAAATTGCAGAGCTTGTAGTTATGTTTCTTGAAAAAAACTAGACCGTTAAGTAAAAATTAACAAAAATAGAGCTATTTCGCATGTCAGTTTTCTGGTAAAGACATTTTGCTACATGAAATTCAAGTGGTTTTTCCCCAAAATCAAGCAGGTTCTTATTCTGAGTGATAAAATAGTTTAAGACATCAAAAGAACGTTTAATCTACAACCATACCCTTTGGTCCTATACCCAATCTTTTAGAGTAACTACTTTGGATTTGAATATATATATATATATATATATATATATATATATATATATATATATATATATATATATATATATATATATATATATATATATATGATATATATATGATATATATATATATATATGATATATATATATATATATATATATATATATATATATGATATATATATATGATATACATATATACATACATATATGATATATGCATGTATATATATATATATATATATATATATATATATATATATATATATATATATATATATATATATATATATATATATATATATATATATATATATATATATGATATATATATACATATATACGATATATATATATATATATATACATATATATGATATATATATATATACACACAGTATATTTACTAATTTATTATTGCTCTGTTCTTTAAAAACATTGAGCACTCTATTAGTAGAATACATTAACATAATTTACATATATTTATGTATATATGCATGGTGCTCACAAGGGTAGGGGCAGTTGGTACTCTAGCACTAGGTCATGGAGGTAAAGGGGCCCAGTGGATAAATCAAGTACATATATGAATGTACACACATGCATGCACAATAGGTTAACATTTGTATTTAATCTCAAAACTAGGGTTTTTCGAACGATTGTATAAGCCATTTTCCGCATTTTTCTAACAACTTTTTACTTGGTTATTAAACTGTTAAACATAATTAAGCCAGTAATCGTTATTTTGATTGCCAAGAGCAATAAAAATAGGTACACTGTATAATTTCTTGTTTAATGTAACATTTAAAAATGATGTTACGATAAATAATAAAAATGTTTTGATAAATAAAAATTGACGACCAAATAAGGAAACTATCTTGTTTGGATAAATATAATGAAGACAAATTTAGTCATTTTTGTGGTTTTGATTTAAAGAGTTATCTAAAGTTTTAATAGGGAGCAAAATGATACCACGAGGGCGCAAAATGATACCATGATATAGGTAAAGTTAAACACTTCAATCTTAAAGTTAATAAATCTTTAAAACCATTTAAAACAAATCAAATCAAATATATTCTGAATAAAGTTGCTACATCAATGTTCACAATAGTAATATGAAGTAAACACCTGTCAAATTCAATAATAATAAAACTTCTATTATAATAATAATTATTATAATAGAAGTAGGAGTAAGTAAAAATAATAGTAGTAATAACAGTGATTAAAAGTTATAGTAAAGATTATAAAAAGTATATACTATAATAATAATAATAATAATAATAATAATAATAATAATAATAATAATAATAAAAATAACAACAATAATAAAAATAATAAAAACAACAATAATAGTTTAACAAAAAAAAGTAAAAAAAAAAAAAAACTATAACATTATTATCAACAGTAAGAATAACAATACTTATGATGATAAAAATATAGTAATAATAACAATAACAAGAATAGTGATAAATAGAATACTAATGAAAATATTTTAGTTTAAGAAAAATTAAAATAATAAATTTAACAAAACATATTAAAATTAAAATTATAAAACAAAAGAAAAGAGAAAAAATATTAGATAAATAGAAGCACAGAGGATTATAAATAACAAGTTGTAGAAAGGTATACAATTTATAAACAATATTTTTCTAAGAAATAGTTTAAGAGAGCAGTTTTAAATTTTGAGAATGATTCAAGAGATTTTAGTCGGGAAGGGAGATTGTTCCATGTTTGTTGCAAGATGATTGTAGAATATAGTTACAGTTACAAGTTGCAAGAAGATTGTAGAATATAGTTACAGTTGTTCTTATAATTAAAAAAGTTGATAAATGTAAGAGGTAGGTTATTGTGATTTTGGTTCCAAACAAATAGGCTATTTAATAGCTGAATAAGGTCACACAATTTAAGAACTTTATTTAAAAAATAGAGTATGCTACACCTTGAATCAGTGTGTTGGAAATAAATTAACTTTGAAGCTTTATTTTGGAGATGAGTTAGCCTTGCAAGCTGCTTAAATTGTCCCCAAACTTGACAACCATATCTGAGATAAGAGTGAAAAATAGCATGAAAAAAATTTCATGATTAACATAATGACAAAATTTAGCTAACATGCCAATTGATCTCCTTAATTTCAATACAATGTCTTGAAGATGCGATGCAAAAGATGAATTAAATTATTATTAAATCATTTTATATTTAAATAATAACTTTTATTAGGTAATTAAAATTCAGTCTGATTAAGTTAAAAAATCAATTTTAAAAATTTGATAATTTGAATTTAAACTTTAAAACATTTAAAAATCTAATCCTTTTTAAAACAAAAATCTCTAAATAAATACAAAAATGATTTAGATTTTGAAAGTAAAAGTTTCTTAAATATTAGGGCAGGGGGTAGGGGCACGCAGAAGGCTCTAGCATGGGGCTCTCTCTTTCTCTTTCTTTCTCTCTCTCTCTCTCTCTCTCTCTCTCTCTATATATATATATATATATATATATATATATATATATATATATATATATATATATATATATATATATATAAATATATAGTTCTTTGGAGTCTTCGGGAGGTAAAGTCAATAAATTATAAAATTAAAAATCCCCTCCCTCCCTTTATTTGGTACTACATTAAACTATATGTTTTTATGTTTTTAAGTTAGCATTTTAAAACTTATTAATGTAACGGGCCTAACTTTAATTTAGAATAAACAGTTAATTTGAATAAAATCAATTTAGTTTTTATTTGTTCAGGATCACTGTGCTCTTGCACTGTGCCCATGGTTGATTAAACTTTATTTTGATATTTTATATTTCGTTTAACAGAAACTGAAGAAAACTAAACTTGCATTTCTAAAAACTTAAACATTCAAGAAGTTGACAAAAAAAAATAAATAAATAAAAAACAGATTTAAATTAAAATTTTTTTTACCTTATGCATGAGTGGATGAGACTCAGTACCAAACACCAACTTAAAGCAGTTTAAAGCTACCATCAACAAACAGACAGCCTTTTGTAAAATATGAAAAACATGTTTATAAAGTACGTAAAACATACATTATTTATTGAATATAAATTTTAATATTTTAAATAGTTCTATTTTAATATTCATAGAATTAGTTATTTTTATAAATTATCTATTTTTTTCTCATTTTTTATAAATCATCTCTCTCTCTCACTCTCTCATTCTTTATAAACATATAGTGCTCAAAGTGAGGCAGAATCATGCAGGATTTCATTTTATCCTTTATAAAGTATAAAACATCCTGTCACCTACCTTTTTATATCTCTCTTAAAATAGCAATGATTAGATAAGATTATATATATATATTGACAACGTAAGGATAATTTCCTTTTTGCAAAATAAGGTAACTAGCATTGGATAATAATGAGTATCAACAGTTTTTTAACTGGAGAAGTTTAAAACTTTATATATTTTTTGTTTCAACAGATTTTAGGATCATTTTAGCATAAAGAGTACTATTTATATTTTTTGTAATGTCAACAGTAGATATTTGGTGTTAAAATTATTAAAAACCAAATATATTAGCCAGTGCTAGTTACACGGATTTACACTATCCCCGACGATATATACATATATATATATATATATTTAGTAGGGTGGATCATAAAATTTTTTTTAAAGTTGCTAACCTGGTTATGGTCTAGAAAATTGTTTTTTTATGTACTAATTTAGGAAAGTATTTACTTTTATGGATTGAACAATGTCTTCCACCCGCAACTTTAATTACAAAAATTAGCAGGCCCTATTATTATTCAAAAAAATGTTTTTCAAAATTATGTGATGTAGGTACTCAAATAAAGCAAAATCTTATAGAAATTTCAAAAATAATAATTTTTTGATATAAAAATTAAAATTTTAGATTTTATTGCATAATAACTATGGTTTTTTAACTAAAAGTGAAAAAAGTGCATTTTTTCTATGTTTTTTAATGACAATTTTTTAGGCAATATGATTTTTACAAAACGATTATTATTATTGAATTTTTTATAAAATTTCACTTCTTTTGACTACCAGGTTGATCTATTTTTGAAAAACTTTTTTTCTCCAAAATATAAGGGTACTTGTAATTTTCCCAATAAAGTTGCGCCCTTTAAATCTATCACAATCATTCTCATATTTGATAGTATCACTATTAATAACTGATCGCAATGTTTAGAGCCTGTAACAAGAAAAAAAGTTTTTATGACCCACCCTAATATATATATATATATATATATATATATATATATATATATATATATATATATATATATATATATATATATATATATATATATATATATATATATATATATATATATATATATATATATATATATATATATATATATATATATATATATATATATATATATATATATATATATATATATACACATACAGTGTGTGCTAAAATTGTCACCATGTTTGAACAAAGAAATATTTTATATTTTTTTAATAGAAAAGCTGTGAAGAAAAATGAAATTTTACTTTTATTAATTAAATGTAAGCAAATGAAAGCAAATAACATATTGCAGTAAATTAATATCAAGTGTATCCTCCCTTAGATTTAATTATAGCCTGAATTCTTTCAGGAACACTAGCAAGCAATTTGAGGCATTCTTCATGTGTAATTGAGTACCAATGCTCTTGAACACGAGCCTAAAGTTCATCCTTATTCTTAGGTGGAGTAAGAAAGTTGTAGACCCATTGTTTAACTATTGCCCATAAATATTCGGGTGGGTTAAGATCAGGGCTTTGTGCTGGCCAGTCATCAACTTTCAATTTCTTTTCGTGAAGAAATTTAATGGTCTTACCAGCCTTATACTTGGGGTCGTTATCTTGCATGAACATCGTGTTACGTACAGTTCTGCCACATTTTCGAAGGGACTTGAAATATCCGTCCGTAAGGATGTTGATATAGTCATCAGCCTTCATTATTTCATTAACTTTCACTAATTCACCGACTCCATGAGCACAGAAACATCCTCAAAACAAGAATTTTCCTCTGCCGTATTTAACGGTTGGTGTAAAATCTCAAGCACTTAATTGTGAATTAGACTTTCTCCAAGTATATCTTATACCATATGATCCAAACATATTAGTTTTACTTTGATCTGTCCAAATCCAGTCATTAAAGTCATCAAAAATCATGTGTGCATGGCATTTAGCATAATTTAAACGAGCTTGGCGGTGACAAGAAACTAACAATGGCTTCTTGATCTTCTTTCTGGATTGAAAACCAATTCTTTTGAGCTCTCTTTTGACTGTCCGCACTGAAGCATGAGTCCCATAGCTGTTATTCATTAAATTAGTAACATTATTTGCAGGTTTAGACTCTCCAGAAGCATTTAAACAAGCAATTAAACAAGCAATCGTTCTTTGGTCTCTTTGTGTAAAAATTTTCTTTTGACCATTTTTAGGCTTATTTACTTATTATTTATTATTGCACAATTTGATTTTATATATGAGATTATGAGACTTTCCAAACTCAGCAGCGATTTCACAATAAGATTGTCCAAATTTAAGCCTTTCCACAATATTTTTTTCTAGTTCAAGATTTACTTTCCTCATGATGATAATAACAATACTTTTTTATGTTTTGTAAACAAAATCAAACTTTAAATGATATTTAATCGTTCAAAATCTGTGAAAAGTTGATAACTCAATCATTTTAGTCATAAGGCTATTAATTTATGTCGTATGCCTAATTAACTGTGGGCAAATATGTTAATTGCTTTCATTCGTGACAAAATTGTCACCATTAGCTTTTCACATAAAAATTTAAAAAAAATTCAATATTTTATAAATTTAACAAAAAGCAATATTTTTAGTCACAAATTTAATTAATAAAACTAAAATTTCATTTTTCTTCACAGCTTTTCTAGTAAAATATATATAAAATATTTTTTTGTTCAAACATGATGACAATTTTGGCACATACTGTGTATATATATATATATATATATATATATATATATATATATATATATAGGCTTTGTCGGGAAGTGAAAGCTTTAGCTCTCGCTTTCGCCCACATTCCCCTAAAACAGTTTACGGGAGCAATTTACAGCTCTTACAAAAGTGTTTTTTTCTCTCTCAAAAGTTTAACTATCATTTTAGCTAAATGAAAAACGCAAAGTCAAAAAAATTTAATTCGCTGGATATTAAAAAGGTACAGTTTTTGCAAAAAAATCTAAAGAATTTTTTCACGGCGCAATAAATGACACTTGTTATGTATATATTATTGTAACATTAACTTTACAAACATATGGTCGTAACAAGTATAAATCCAAATTTTGTAATTAATAAGCAATTTTTATATAAATAAACAAATAGCTTGTGCAAAAAAAAAAAAAGCTCTCGCAAAAAACAGTATGGAGGAGCAGCTCGCATGGTTTGCTATGTTCGTTTTAGGAGAGCTTTTATAACTATTTTTATGAAATTTTAAATATAGTTCAAGAAAAATATAAATCAATTCCTGACACTACATTTGAGTTTTAAAGTAAAAATCATTAGTTTGTCATTTTACTAAATGATGCAATAAAAAAGACATTAAAAAATATTTACAGTTACAGCTAACAGGCCAATGAGACACAAAGGATATAGTAAATTTTTTTCAAACATAGAAGAATCACGTTCTTTTTCTAAAAAAATATTAGAAAAAATTAGTTTTATAAATATACATAAATATTTTATTTATCAAAAAAACTTCACAAAAATTTGCAGTATTATTTTATTTAGTTATTAATATATTAATGAACAAGTTATAAACTTAATATATAATAAGATAATAATATAATAAAAAATATATATAATAATATATTATAAAAAATTATAAAATTGAATATTTAAAAAAGAAACCAAGTTTTATTCTTTCATAAATCACATCTTGAATCTCAGATTTTTTTTTGTATGCTTCACCATTTTGCTGAAGGTAAATTCCATTATTTCCATTTGATAAATTATTAATAGGGCTACTCACTAAAATAAATAAAAAAATTAAAAAGGTAGGTAACTTTCTAGTAAGCATGTGTATATTGGTATATATATATATATATATATATATATATATATATATATATATATATATATATATATATATATATATATATATATATATATATATTGGCATTTCCACGATGGAAGCAATAAATTTTGTGTTTAAAAATTTCTTTTTTCAAAAAACTTTTTTTTTTTAATTGTAGTGTAAACACCTTAAAATTATTTTTAAAATAAATTTTGAGTAGAAAATATTTGAACAGAGTAGACAAATTTGATGAATGTTAGCAGCTCTTTTTTCTTTTTATTATTTGAAAAAGAGAGTAAAATATGAGAGCAAGTTATTGCAATATTTTAAACAAAACAGAACTAGATTTTTGTTTAGAAAGAATTTTTGAGATTATATATATATATATGTCTTGAGTAAAAAAAAACTTTTACTCTTTAAAAATAATTCAAGTGTTTTTTTGTCACATACACTTCTACAAAAACAAGGTTGCATCACTGAACTAAAAGCTAAAAAAGTTTAATTATCACAATGAAACTAGGCTTTATGGCAAAGTGTTTTTAGAAATTATATATTTTAATGTAAACTTTTTATCACTATTCAAAAAAATTATCCGAATATTTATATTTGCCATAGTTTCTGATTCAACTGATCATTCAACTGAAAACCCTTCACTTTATTCCTGATCAAGTCAAAAAAGTACACATGTTTAGCGATAATGCCACTTCTCAGTTCAAAAAGAAAAGCATTACGGCTGTAATGGTTGTGTTCGAAAAATATTTTCATAAAAAATTCTGCTGGCATTTCTTTACAGCGATGCACGGGAAAGGAGTGGTTGATGGAATAGGAGCTACTGTTAAGCGAATCGCAGCCCTTAAAGTTAAATCTAGTCAATGCGAGATCAGGTCAGCAGCAGATTTTGCGCTAGCATTACAAGATTTGCAAATATCTGTAATTCATATGTCAGAAAACGACACAAGACAACAAAAAAATGAACATGGATTCAGTTCAATTTTAAGTTATTCAAGAAAAATCAAAGATATATCAAAATTACATTATTATTATGTTCAAAATGATAACACTGTTTCAATGCTATTTTCACCTGAGTGTAATTAAAACTTATTACAAAATAACAAAACTTTTAAAAATGATTTTAATTCCATATTTTTGTTTCGCCACTGAATGTTATGTCACTGAACTGATAGTTTTTTTCTGTAAAATAAAACGATATGAAAACTTTGTTGTTTGTGGTTTTTTTATGACTGCCTTATTGCCAAATGAATAAATTATAATTAAAAAATCTAATTAGTCTAGCAAAAATTAAAATTTCAGGGAAAGCTTCATTTAAAAGTATGGTGATAAAAAACCACTTTTTTCCGCGTTGCGCCACTGAACTCATGTTTTAATTTTTGCTATGTGTCTTTGTTATGTTTATACAATTGTGTTTAATTTATATTATAAAATTTTAATTCAAGATTGATTTAGAGTAATAAAAAATTATTTTTGAGTTATAGAAAAATTTTTATTAAAAAAAATCTCTCTTATGCGTCACTGAACTATGGAATTGGCCATTTTTTTGAATAAAAAATATTTTAAGGGGACCCTCAAGACCCTCGAATATTTAATGGGTCCCTAATATTTTCAAAAAAAAAAGTTTTTCAAAAATATGTCAACCTGGTACCCAAATGAAGCGAAATTGTATAAAAATTTTAAAAATTATATTCATTTTGAAAAATTATAATAAAAAAACATAAAAAATGCATTTTTTTCATATTTTGTTAAAAAACGTTATTTTTTAAGTAATAAAACCAAAAACAACAATTTTATGAAGCTAAAGACTTTATCGAAGAGGTTTTACGAGGATATTTGACAGTTCCTCATGAGTGTACTTATCAGCTAGTTAGAATTGGGTTATGCTTTGTAAAAAAAACTAAACACAGAGCATGTTGTAGAAAAAGACTTATAAACATTCTGTCTATAATAGATACATATTATGATTTTGCTTTATCATCAAAAAATCTTTATATTAGCTAATGTTCTTTTGCATGGAATTCATAATTTGGAAAAAGACCAAGCAAAAAATGCATGTCTTTATCAGACATCAATTAAAAAGGCAATCAATTAAAGACTTTTTATTCTTTTTAAAAAGGTTTTAGATTTGTTATTAATTTTTACTTTGTTATTAAGTTTTTAATAATACTAATTTATATTCACTGTAAAATTATTTTATTATTATTGGTTTTACGAAACATTTTTTGGTTTAATTTAATTTTATAAGCATTTAGTAAGAAGTATTTAATGGCCTTCGCTAGCGAATTCAGAAAATCGAGTTTGTGCATCCTGTCATATAATAGTCCTTGAGCATACCATTAGCTTGATTAATTTTTTTATGGAGTGCATCTATATGAAAATTCCATGAGAGGTTCAAACCTATAAAAATACAAAGATATTTAACGAGTGTTAGATATATTAGTGTGTTAGATTAACAGTATCGAACCCTTTTTTCAATAAAAACACCACCAACGAAATGACCAGTGTCCAGTGCCTTTTTTATTTTTTTTCTTATACTTTTTAAAGCGTGGCAAGTAGAGTGTTTTGATCGAAATCTGAACTGAAAATCATTTTAATAGTTAAAAGAACTCAAAAATGAGTATAATCTAGAATACATTTATTTTCAAGGAGCTTGCTAATGTTAAATAGAATTGAAAATTGGTCTATAGTTAGTACGTGAGAGTTTTGAGCCATTTTTATATACCGGAATGACACAAGCTAATTTCAAAATGTCAGGAAAAATTCCATTTAGGAAGGAGATATTAAATAGCTTGGAGAGAATATGAGAAAATTCAGAATTAAAATCAATAAGTATGTTTGTGGGGATGCTGTTAGAACCTATTAATTTTCTAGGTTTTAATTTAGATATAAGTGATGAGATTTCAGAATGGTTTGTTGGAGATATTAGTAAACTATGAAGATTTGGATGTTTCAGATTAATTATGGTATATTTATAGCATTTAAAGACAGTTTTTAGTTTAATTATATTTGTTGGATCTTTCATCCTTAACATTTTCCCTTGAATAAGATTTTGAATTTGAATTGATTTTATTATTCCTTTAGTAATCCATGGCTTGAATTGACGCATGTAGCCCTTAATACTAATGAATACTTTTTGAGTGGCACATGACAATCTAACAACGATGTTGTTTGAGAAATAAATGTTTTAAAAATAGAGTTAACGTTGTTTTTATTGGAAATGTCATTTCAATCAACTTTTAATAATTCAGATTTAAATGATTCTTTATTATAATTTTTAAAGTTCCTGCGGTATAAATTATGAATGCATGGTATAAATAACTTGTTGAAATTATGACAAATAAAAAATTCCACCACAAGAAGATTTGGTTGGTGTGTGCTCAAAATTATAATTTTGAATAGTAATTAGATGTGCAGAAGGAGACTCATTTTTTAACCTTGTTTCTGCAATTCCAATAATACTAATTTCAAAACTAATTAATGATAATAATATGTTTAGATCTTCAAAGTGCTTTTGTAAAGAGGATATATTTAAATGGAAAAAAGACAGAGTTAATTATGTCAAAATTATGAGAACAAAACTTATAAATGTCATAATATTGACAATCTACATCAAAAAATGAACAGTTTTCCTCATCAGAAACTGAAGCATGAAATGTAGTAAATTTATAAATTGACTATAGATTTTATTAAAATCTGATGCTAGAAAGAGTTTATTTGATAAGGGCAAGTCATCAGTTGTAATAATTTTATTTGAAGTGAAGAGTAGTTTAAATTCATTACAGATACATCAGTCAATGGAAAGACACCTTTAGTACAATTTACACACAGCATGTTGAGCATTTTGAATGTGTTAAATTGTACCCATGATCATAAAGCCTGCTACATTTTGAGTGAGTCCAAAACAAACATACATCACATTGAGTTGCATGGTAACTTATACAAACTTTTTTTGTACATGCAGTGCATACTTCGCAAAAATTAGAAGTCATAGTAAAACTAATGAGAAAGATAAAAGAAGAAAATTTTCTAAATTCATAAGAAAGCTTGAAGTTGTTAAGTTTTTTTTTTTTTTTTTTTATTTGCATTCACTCCCAACAAGGCTGCAAGCAACCACTATTAAGTTGGGAGTTACTAGGAAAAAAAAAAAGAACAGAGTTATAGAGCAAGGAATTTCCCAGAAACACCATATGAAGCAAGCTTATGGAGAAGATCAGCATGCCAAACTTTGTCGAAAGCTTTAGATATGTCGAGAGCAATAGCCCTAGCCTCACCGCCTCCACCTAATGCAATATAAAATCTTTCAGTTACAGCAGTTAGCAAGTCGGCCGTAGAGCGAGAGGATCGAAAACCGTATTGATTGTCTGACAGCAGTTTATTTGACTCAAGATGAGATGTGAGGAATTTGTTGATCAAAGACTCAAAGACCTTGCTAATAACAGAAAGAAGACTGATCGGACGATAATTGGAGGGGTCAGAACTTTCTCCAGAGTTTTTGAATATTGGAACTACAGATGCCATTTTCCAACAAGCAGGAAAACAAGTTTTAAAGGAGAAGAAAAGAAAATAATAATGAAAATAACAATACAATATTACAAACAGTAATTATAATAGCAACAATTATAACATTAATAATAATATTATCTGCTGTAATTTAAGTAGTATTAATGAACAAACTAATATAAAATAATAGTTATAATAACTAAACAATAGAATAATAAGTAATATTATAATACTAATCAAGAAAAAGAATATATAACGAATTATAAATTAAATAAAAATTGTATTAAAATTATATCTAATATTATAAATATATTATAAACAAAAATAGAAATAACATAAAACAAAAATAAATAAAAGTTTAAATAATATATTAATGATTAAATTAAAGAAAAAAGTAATATATTTAACAATAATATATATATATATATATATATATATATATATATATATATATATATATATATATATATATATATATATATATATATATATAAAATAATGATAATGTATAATAGTAATAAATTAAAATAATAAAATAAGATAAAACAAAATCAAGTTAAATAAAAATTATATTTAATTGAATTCTTATTTTTCTTTTTTAATAGATAATTTTTACTTCTCTTTTTTTACTTCTTTTTCTTCGTGATTTTTATTGATTATTTTGAATTGTTTAAATCTTTTTTGAATTCAAAATTCTTTTGTTAACTAGTAAATGTTTATTCTTTATTTTTGGTTATATTTATCGAAAGTTGTATATAAATTGATTAGTATTTTTTATGTAATTTTTCCTTATCTTTTCTTTTCTTTTTTTTTTTAATTTATCCATTTTATTTATTTTCTACTTGTTGAGCAAATTATTTATTTTACTTTATTTAGTTTAGATTAAATTAAATATCTTCTCATTTTTTTGTATTTCTTATTATTGTTTTCTAGTTCTTATTTGTAAAGTTGTAAATTTTGAAGATTAAACATCTTTTGCTTTAAAATCTATTAACTAAAGTTCAAATTGAGCTCTATTGGGCTTTTGGAACTGTTTAAAATTTATTTTCTTGATATTTTCAGTAAGTTGATGAGTCAAAAATGATTTCTGAACTCTAAAATAATCAGCAAAGGAATCTTTTATTTTTTTGATGTTAATCTTTGATTGCTAGCATCTTGAATAAACATAGATAATTGACTTTTAAAAGAAGCAACTAGTACTGGAAAATATAAAAAAAAGGATACTGTTGTTAAAGGTATAACAGCTATTCTTTATGAATACAATTTATGGAAGAGTATAAAGAGGAAACTACAAATGTAAACACTTGAAGATGGAATGATATTGTCAGTTAGTTAGACATTTTACTGAAAAGAGTAAAAAAACTCCTTGGTTGCAAACATCATGTTCATGTTCGAAACATCATGTTCATGTTCGAAACATCATGTTCATGTTCGAAACATCATGTTCATGTTCGAAACATCATGTTCATGTTCGAAAAAGCGCTAAACTCAGTGAAAAAGTATTGGAATCAGGAACCATTGAGGCAGGAAATTCCCAGAACAAATCAGTATGCAGAATGACCAATTAAATGTTTTCAAGATCTTTTTGACATCTGAAAAAGAAAAAGATAACCTCCAGCTTAGAATTATTTTGTCTAACAAAGCATAAGAATTGTTTATTATGCTTTAAAGCATGTATACAAAATAAGTGTGAAAGTAAAAAAAACTAAAAAAAAGTACTCATGAACTTTTATTTAGAACTAAGTATTAATTTTATTGCATTAATGTAAGAAAATAAAATACTACAAAAAGATTAATTTATTCCTTAGACATCTAATAAAGTTTTGAGCTTTTGTTTTGGTGGTACCCATAAGCTTGCCCACAGAACACAAATCAAAATTATTTGATGCTTTTTTAAATGACATTTTCAAATCTTTAGCGTTTCTGCATAGTTTTTATTTTTCATTTTTCATTTAATAATTACCCAGTATTTTGTACCTAGTACTTGATTGATTATTTTAGATAACTTTCAGTCATTTTGTTTATACAATCCCATAGTTTGCTGTAATGACTTAATGATAAATCAGGTAAGAAAAAAATCTATCATTACGGAAAAGTATTTTGATGATTTGAACCAAAAAAAATACTAACATTTTACAATCTGCACAATAACACTACTCCGTTTACAAAAGAATATATATATATATATATATATATATATATATATATATATATATATATATATATATATATATATATATATATATATATATATATATATATATATATATACTTGTCACATTTGCGAAAGTACAGCTCTGAATGCATAATGTAGCTTTTCGTACTTATAGAATTGTTATTTTTTGTAATTTAGAGTACTGTGATGAAACAATTAACTGCTAAATGCTTAAAAACTACATAACAACTCTCCGATTAAAAAAATTACTATTAAAAAATAACGATCATAAAGATGTTTGAAATTTTATTCATATGTATATTAGATAACTTTGAATTTTTGTTTTGGGGGTGACCTTTTTTAACAAGAAAATCGAACTAATATTTTTTCATTACTTTTGTGCAAATATTCATCGATTTATGACCCAGGAACACAGAGTCACAAAAAAGTCATAATCCTAATATATATATAGTTTTATGTAAAGTACAACTTTTTATAACATTCTGTTTTGCTGTTTCCTAATAATAACATTATAATAGGAAATATTATTTTTTCTTAATTATTTTATAAAAAATATATTAAAAATATAAATATATATATATATAAATTTTATAAAACTTTTTTTTACTACTAAAAAAACACTAATTAATATTTTTATGCTGACAAAAAAATTAAATAAGTGTTTTTTATTAATTTATTATTGCTGTTTTTTAAGAACATTGAGCACCTTTTTGTAGAATACACAAACACATTTTACACACATACATGCACACACATATATACATACACTTTTTACTTACACTTTCTTCTTATATTATTTTCTTCCAAATGTAAAGCATGAATTTGATCGTCCAGATCAACAAAAAACTAAAGTTTAAAATCTATAACTTTACAGATATATATTGTTGACAGCCTGCATGTTACATCACTAAATACGCAATACAAAAATAGAGGTAGATAAGGGCTTCTTGTATTTATATATAAATATATATATATATATATATATATATATATATATATATATATATATATATATATATATATATATATATATATGTATATATATATATATATATATATATATATATATATATATATATATATATATATATATATATATATATATATATATATATATATATATATATATATATATATATATATATAGATATATATATATATATATATATATATATATATATATATATATATATATATATATATATATATATATATATATATATATATATATATATATATATATATATATATATATAATTGATATATATATAGATAATATCAATTTAATTTTGCCAAGAAACTTTGTTTGTCATCCAATGATAACAGCAACAGCTGATAGATCTAAACTATCAAACGCACAGCTTATGATGAATGTTTCAGCAATCCTGGTTCTAGGTTACTTTTTTATTGTTATTTAAATCACTAATCAGTTTCATGAGTTTTTAATTAGTGTGATGAGTTGATAAGAAAAATTTTATTCTGTATTTTTTAGGTGGTGTTAAAGCTAATGATGTAGATATTTCACTAAACACAATTAGAAGAGCACGTAAGCAAAATAGACAAATTATGGCAAGAAATATAATTGAAGAATTTAAAAAAAAAAGGTAGATTAGATTATTTAACTCTTCACTGGGATGGGAAACTTATGAAGCAAATATCTGGTAAAAAGTTTGACTATTTAACTGTTTTAGTAAGTGGTTTTCCAAACTGCGAGGAAGGTAAAATTTTATCTATTAAACCTATTCAGTCAGGCACAGGACATTCTATATGTAAAGGAATCATCGAAGATTTAGAAAAATGGGATCTTAAAGATAATATTGTTGCCCAAGTTTTCGATACAACGGCTTGTAATACTGGAGTAAGAAACGGAGCAGCAACTCTTCTTGAAGAATGCAAATCTATAAAAACGCTTCTCTGGCTTGCATGTCATCATCATGTTTTAGAATTAATCCTAGGGTCGTTTTGGAAAGCTTTATTTCAAAAAGAGACATAATCTGATGATAATATAGAGTTTAAAAATTTTCAAAAAGAATGGCTTCACTCTAAAAAAATTCCTCTCAAACTTTCAAATAGATCCCTTGATCTTGAAAGTTCATTCTTAAAACAAAAGCAAATGAAACTCGCAATTTCTTAGAAAAAGTATTGCAGTCTAAGCATCATCCAAGAAACGATTACAAAGAGGCTGCAGAACTAGCAATTTTTCTATTAGGTGGAGAAGAGCCCAAGAAATGAAAAACATGTGGTGCTCACCATCATGCAAGATGGATGGCGCATTTGCTTTATGCACCAAAGATGTTAATATTTAAAAAAGATTTAACCGAATCTGATTTAAAAAACCTTAAAATATTAAGTTGTGTTCCGATTATCTCCAAATACTTACAAAGTTGAGCCGTAAAATGAGTTGAGAAGGCAATTAAAAAATCATAAAAATTTACTATTAGAACAGATTAAAATAAAATTTCTTATCTTAAGGACGAGGCTGTACGAAACGAAGTTTTTAACGTGGTTGAAAATGACAGAAAAGTTGTAGGCAATAAGAAGCAATTATTCGTTGATTTAGCTGAGTATAAATAATAACCGCTTTTTTATTATCTTTTCTGTTTTTCATTAGCCTGGTCATAAGACTGTCACGTATTATTTGAATAGCCCCAAATAATTTTTTTCCAAATTAATCAACTCTTCTGTAAATCAGGCAATCTATCATTTAAAAAGGAGTTATAAAAGCAGTTATTAATTGTATTGTGGTAAACCCCTCCCATATGGGGGAGGGGTATTGAAAGTGTCACCAAATATCACATGGAGAGGGTAGTTAGCTACAATGTGACGCGAATTACAATTCTTATAATAGCAGAATTAGTAAACTTTTAGCAAAAAATTACTTAGAGATATATCTTTTTTAACAATAATAGTACTGCGCATAAAAGAGGGGGCGGGGGAGGAGTTGATAAACAAGTAATACAAAATGATACATGGGGTAAGTTCAAAAAGGGTCAAAAACGTGTTGTCTATTAAATGAACAGCCTCAAATAACAAATATTTCCTATAGATATAAAAATTCTAATCTTTTTTCACTTTCCTAAAAAATCCTAATTTTGACATATTTTAGACTAAAAATGAAAATAATCAAATCAAATTCGGCAGCACTCAATGATGTTTTTTTCCAATTTTTTTTTTTATAGTTTGTATTCATATGTGAAAAGGATCATGTTTTTTTGCAGACATGTTAAATTTTCAATTTTTTTTGTTTTTGGCCTACCCCCATATATATATATATTAAACTTTTTTAAAGTTGACACTAAGGGTTTTGGTTTGGACAAGCAGTATATTAATTTAAAAGAAAAATATTTTTTCTTTGAATTAATAGATAGCTTGCCTAAACCAAAACCTTAAGTCAATGTTTACAAACACTGGAGTATTTGTAAACTCCAGTGCTTATCTCTATATAGTCAGCCAATGTATACACATTCTGTACCTCTACATGTGTATGCACACTCTGCTATTAAGAATATGGTTTACTATATATATATATATAAATATATATATATATATATATACACACTTGTCACATTTGCGAAAATATAGCTCTGAATGCATAAAGTAGCTTTTCGTACTTATAGAATTGTTATTTAAGTTTGTAATTTCATATTCATCTGTAATTTAGAGTGCTGTGATGAATAATATTTGCACACAATAATATTTTTGGAGAAAGATCTATCAAAATAATTGTCAATCAGATAGATCACTTGAGATCCATTGAAAATAATTATCAATGAGATTTAGAAACGATTAGAAAATTTCTTTTAAACTTGGGTGCACATTATCATCTCCAGTACCTTTATTTACATTCAATTGGATTAACTTTTTAAAGACATTGTCAATGCTCAAATCTGGATTTACGATTCGTTTAACAAGTAATTTATTAAAAAATTGGTATTTTTTCATTTTACTTATGGAAAACTGAATGAAAAAATTTATTTAGTACATTAGCTATATTTCATACTCGTACTCTTTAATTGTAGATTTTACATATTTTCTTGTAACCCTGATAACATTATTGTATTTTATTAATAGCTTGTGGCCTTGAAATTTGGAATTCCTGCACTTTATCCACAATTTTAATCTCAGTTTTATAATTGCTGCTAATTTTTTAATGAGCCAGGTTCTTTTTGATTTTATCATATTTGATAGAGGAATATATATTTTACATGCCATATCATAATGTTCTAACCATTCATTATAATACTCGCCTGTATTAAAGTTTTCAAAGAGCTTCTCCCAGTTAATATTATCAAAGTGATTGTTCATATTAATAAAGTTTCCTTTATGATTTTATGATCACTTTTTTTTTTCCTTATGGTTGATTTATAATTTTATTTGATGATTAAAGTTATAGCAAAAAGTAAGAATGTGATATCTCATTTTGAAGTTGTGGGTGGTGTACTCACACCTCCCCAATACAGTGTTTATGTTTCAAAAAAGTGCACAAGCCCAAATTAAGTTTTTCTACCAAAGTATGATTATAGTGTACACAAAAAGTATTTTACAAAATTTGGAAAAAGTGTCTTGATAAAAAAATGATGATATAGCAAAAAAACTGGTTTAAAATGAAGTTCGTAGAAGAACTTATTTAAGGCATAGACTAGTAGTTAATAAGCTAACTCTTTATCAAATACCATTACTTAAAATAATATTTATATTTCATATCAATAAATTAAAGAATCTTATCAAAATCGATAAAAAATATTTTAGTTGAAACATTTTGTTAGCTGATATAGACTGAACGTAATAAAGCCTCAAATTCTCTCCACCCTGTATTAAAGTACATCATGTAATAGATCATTTATTTATGTTTCTTAATGTAAACCACTCGGAAGTTTGTATCTGGAAAACTCACTGAATCTCGAGTGAATAGCTTTTCTTGTCTGTTCGCTGTAAATTTCCAGTCCATATCCATTATTTCTACAAAACTCCTTTACATGGCAAAATAATATATGCAGTTTGGTAGTCTTTTTATTTTGATCCTCAAAGTAATAAAAAATATCAAAAAAAAAATCTATTGCTTTTTTAAAACCCATACTGAGAACCTTGCTAAAACATGAGTAAACCATAGTATCAAATTCATCACAAAATCCCCTTAGATCTTTGGGAAGAGCATCTATAAGCTTATTTGTTAATCTTATCTATTTCTTACACTGGTTTCGTTCACCGTGACGTTTTTGTCTGACAAGAGAATTCCTTTCTAGGAAGATTTCCCATTTTTCTTGTCTCCATCTTGTTGATAGGTTATTCCACAATAGATAAATGGTTCCTGTATAGAGATAAAACTCAGGTATATTGCATACTTCCATAACTTTAGTTTCATCATCACCTGGCAGAAGTGGTTGATTCTTGCAATTATAAAATCCTTTCAGCGGTGAGTCAGAAATACATCCTTGTTTCCAAGGGAGATTTTGCTCTCTAATTGATTCAAAGGTTCATTTATCTCCTGTAGAGTAAAGCCAATCTACACAATCTGTACTCTTATTACAGTAGCAACAAGGATACTTTAAACTATGATTTTGAGGTCCTGAAATCAAATTAAGTAGTTTCAAATCAGCGCAAATTTTATAATAAATCTTTCCCAACTCAATACTTTTGAAAAAGACAGCACAGTTTTCATAATTCTCCTGAATAATTGGGACTGTTCCTAAGAATAATGTCTGATCAATGGATGTTTCTTTTTTCAGGCTCAGACAAATGCCCTCGAAATAGTTTGATCTCTTGATGATATCATCACTAAAGTAACTTGCCACATATTTTATAAATTTGCAAATAATTTATAACTTATTAATATTTTTAAAAGGTTAACCACTACTTATTTTACTGATTTGTAGATTAATTGATGAGACATGCTTTTCAGATTTTGTGAAATACTTTTTTGTGTACACTATAATTATACTTTGCTAGAAAGACTTAGTTTGGGCGTGTGCACTTTTTAAAAACATAAACACTGTTTTGGGGAAGTGTGTACTAAAGAGTGGTGTACTAAATTGAAAATTCTTGAACTTCTTATACTTATAATAAGATCTAAAATATTATTAGTTTTTTTATTTTCAAGATAAAATGTTGGATTATTTGTTTAAAAAAATCTAATAAACTATTTTCATGTTTTCCAGCTACTTTACCAACTTAATTGTTCCAATCAACTTGAGGAAAATTAAAATCCCAACATAGGTAAATACCAGTTGCTTTTTTATATATTATCATACTGTCAGCTGCTTTAAATAATCTTATAAAGTTTATGTAGTTGAATACTAAATGCTAACTCCAGTACAATAAATCATCCTCATATAATTTTTTCATTACCAATCTTTATAGAACACCAAAATTTGTTTAACTAGGTTATTTTGTATATAAAAACTTAAAATTTTAAAGAATTTTATAGTTTTAACTTTAAAATCCTTTGAAATTAACAATTATTTTTTATTATTAACAAGAGAGTCCATGACTCTCTCTCTTTCTTTCTCTCTCTTCTTCTCTTTCTCTATATGGGTATATGTATGTATATATATATATATATATATATATATATATATATATATATATATATATATATATATATATATACCTACTAAAGCGTGTTTTGATAAGCATTTGCTCACTTTTTCTGCTTACCTTAAGCTATACTATTTTTTTCGAAAAAGAAGAAAAAACGAAGGATGATGAATAAAACAATTGCTTCCCCATCCCAAACCCTCAGTCGATGTAGCAGCACTCCTCTGCAAGTCAGGTTATTTGTCAGTCGATGTATGTACTGAAGCCCCAACAGCAGGCTATTTCAGTATGACGTCAGATTGCTTACCTTATTATGCAATACTATTTGTATATATATATATATATATATATATATATATATATATATATATATATATATATATATATATATATATATATATATATATATATATATATATATATATACTTATTATGGCATCATTAGTGACATAACATGCAAACATAAATTTGACTTTAATAAATATATAAATACATTTTAAATTAATTTGTGTGTGTGTGTATATATATATATATATATATATATATATATATATATATATATATATATATATATATATATATATATATATATATATATATATATATACATACATTAATTTAAAGTGTATATTAGCTAAAATATATGCACAATACCTTTGGCACTATGATATATGTACCTAGTACAGTGAATAATTTTGTGAAGCCCAATGGTGTACATACTAAAAACAAAATATTACCATAATCATTACCATATTTTCCAAATTTCCTTCTCCTTTTTATTGTAGTTGTTATCATCATTATCATCATTATCATCATCATCATCATCATCATCATCATCATCATCATCATCATCATCATCATCATCATCATCATCATCATCATCATCATTATTATCATCATCATTATCATCATAATCAACATCATCATCATCATCATCATCATCATCATCATCATCATCATCATCATCATCATCATCATCATCATCATTATCATCATCAGCAGCAGCACCATTATCATCATCATTATCACCAGCAGCAGCATCATCATCCCTATCATCATGCTCATGGTTATTTAATATATTTATAGATATCATTCTAAAATAGAAACTTACTTAATAAAACCAATGCGCCAAAAAGTGAAATAAATGAATACATCAGTGGTAAAGGAGGAATCCACATCTCTAAAAATGTTTACAAATTGCAATTCTACTATTACTATTACTTTCTACTATTTTAATATGCGAAATATGTTATAGTATATAAAAAACATGTATCTAAATATATATATATATATATATATATATATATATATATATATATATATATATATATATATATTTATACAAAAAAACTATATGTATACATATATTTTTTTTTTTATATAAAAAAACTATATATACATATATATATATATATATATATATATATATATATATATATATATATATATATATATATATATATATATATATATATATATATATTTATACAAAAAAACTATATGTATACATATATTTTTTTTTTTATATAAAAAAACTATATATACATATATATATATATATATATATATATATATATATATATATATATATATATATATATATATATATACATATATATATATATACATATATATATATATATATATATATATATATATATATATATATATATATATATATACATATATATATATATAAACATACATATACATATTTAAACATACATATATATATATATATATATATATATATATATATATATATATATATATATATATATATATATATATATATATATAAACATATATATATATATATATATATATATATATATATATATATATATATATATAAACATATATAAACATACATATATAAATTCACACAGCATTTCCAAGTGCAACTGCTATTGTCACAAAAAAACATTTACAAAATTGATGGTAAAATATCAGTAACTGTTACAGAGCTTTTAAATTGAATGAAAATCCAAAAGGAAATAAAAAAAATTAATATGGTGAAGAACCACAAAAACTTAATTTAATTGGGTAAAAAAAAGTTAAAACTTAATAATTGTCAAATAAAAGTCCAAAAAAAACAAAATTTTTGTTTTTATTTAAATTGTTAGTTCTAAAAACATTTTTATCATCAACAAAAAAACTGATATAATCAAAAAAGTAGGAAAAAATTTGTCAATATATAATAGTCTGCTTCAGTTCATACATCAACTAATTATAGGTAGAATATGCAAAAAAGTGCAGTTTGATTGACTAAGGCTTTAGGCTGGGGCAGCAATCTTCTTTTTCAATTTTCTTTATTTTTTTCTCTCTTTTTTTTTTTTTTTGAAAAAGTTGTATGGAATAAAGTAACCAAAAAAGTTTCTGTCAAGTAAAACTTTGGCTGATATGAGATATTAGTTCGAGTTAAGGCAATTATTAATGCTAAAGTATATACATTATATTTACACAATTATACTTATGTTTTAACAAAAGAAGTTACAGATTGTATTCACACAGTACAGTCAAGAGATAACATTTGAATAAGTTTAGTGACACATTGCTTCCTTATTATTTTGTAACCTAAACAAAGTCTAAATAGTAGCAGTCGTTTATTTAAGAATTCATTAAACTATGAAATAATTGTTATTTTAATTGTTTTATCAAGATTTTTCTTTTAACAGTTTTATCATAGCATTATCTTATAGCATTATTTTTATTATTTATTTGATAATGATCTATTTTATTCAGATTGGAATACAACAAAAAAATAAAGAAAATATAAGGCTACAGTTATTTTTGTTTTATATTGAATGACTTCTTTTTTTTATAAAAATTTTATGTCAATGTCTTTAATTATATGTGCATACAATATCCAAAAAAGAAAAAAAAGTAACAATAATAATGATCGACAAAGAATGAATTTTTCTTCTTTTTCTATTCAAAACTACTATAAAATGCTTGAAGTGTCTGAAAAAAGATACCAAAGTAGTATTGATTTATTGATACTGATGGCATAAATTTACTGATACTGATGGTATAAATTTATTGATATTGATGGTATAAATTTAACAGCAAGCATAAGCTTAGGTAACTATTTAAATGAAACATTTTATGAAGTATTTTATAATTTAGCAATTTTAGCAAGATTTAGCAAATGAACTAATTACTTAGTCAAGAACAGAAAAACATATATCTTTATATTCTAAAACACTGGTTTCCAATTTATCATCAAAGCATTTAAGATTAGCACACTATTCCTCGCTTATAGAAATAAAGAAAAGTAAAAAAAGTAAAAGCATTACACAATATTTTTACCGTAATAAAAATGATTTATGATATTGACAAAATTAATCTATAATTTAATAATTATTCATCGGTATAGTAATGCAAAAACTAATCAAATATATGACAAACAGTTATTTTGTCATATAGTCTAAAATAAGTTTTCAAATAAAAAAACCAACTTGATAAACCTGTTTTGACAACTACTTATTTAAAACTATGATATTATGTCAAGAACTTATCCATGCATATAATTAATTTACTTTAACTACCTAGTGGGGATGCATTGCCATAAGGATGTCTGGACGTTCATAAAAGGTCAGACAGACATCCATTAGAAAATATTTACACTTTTAGGCTTACACAATTTTTCTTTAATCGGGATTTTCAGCAAGTTCTAAACCTTTTTTTGTCAAAGGTGTATTAAAAAAATTATATTTAATTTAAAATATTTATTTAAATTAAATATAATTTTTAATTCATATAACATATTATATTAAAAATTATTAAACATTGTAAAAGTGAAAATTATATTGAAAACACTTTATTACCTATAATGTAAAATTAATTTTTTAATTATAATTTTATTTAATAGTTATTAAAATCACAATTTGAGTTTGACAATTTGTTTCATAGACAATTATTTTTTATAATCACATATATTTGAGTTTGACAATTTGTTTCATTGACAATTATTTCAAATATATTATGTGAAATAATTGTCTATGAAACACATATATTTATAATCACATATATTTGAGTTTGACAATTTCTTCAATTTCATTGTCAGACAATGAAATTGTGACAAGATAATAGATTTAATAATTTGTGACAAGAAATCTTTGTCAATGGCAGACAATGATATTGTGATTTTTTTTTTAGTTATTAAATTAAATTATGATTAAAACATAAATTTACATTATTATAAAATTATTGTTTTAATTAAAATTTTATTTTAATTTATAAATAAATAATTAATTTGAATAAACTAGTTATTTAATCATAAATTTACACTTGAAAGTGTTAATAAATTATTAAAATCCAGCTGACTGCTAAAATCTTAATTTTTTAGTAAATAGTTATTCTTGTTTAGAGACTTTACTTGTTCTTAATTTGCTGCATTTTGGGAGTTTAAACAATAAGGAATGTCTAAAAGCGAAGATAGAACAAAGTTAATTTTTCTTTTATGGTGTATAACTTTATCTGCTTCTATTTATGATATCACCTGTATATACTAAAACTATAATTCACTTGTACACATATATTTACTACACTTGTAGTACATATTTTTTATTTTTATTTATTTTTTTATTTATTTGAGTTTTCATGCTATATTTTTCTATACAATGTTCTTATATCCGAAGATATTGTTGGCTTAGCATAGGAACAGCCACAAATAGTCATTAAGACTAATCCAAAGTAGCATCTGTTATTGACCAACATTTTTGCGTACCAAAGTACTACTCAAGCGCTGAGTTAGCGATGGCGGGATTTGAACTCGTATCGTTCAACAGTCCAGGTTTTAACTTTTCCTTTAACGCTCTAACCATCTGAGCTATCCCGCCACAATATATGTTTACATATAGTATAATTAAAAATTATACTATATGTATACATATATGTATACATATAGTAATTGCTTTTAGTTTAAAAAAAGTTTAATTCAATTAAAAAAATAATTGCTTTAAACTTTTTTTAATTGCTTTAATTGCAGAGCTTTGTGAATTGTAACACTATATTATTCTAAATTATTATAACATGATTAGAAAATAACAGTTATAAATATTATAATATATGTAATCATTAGTAAAATGTTTAAGTATTTTATCACTTCATTTCCACCATTATGTAATAGTATACACTTTTTTTTGTGTATTTGCTAGTAGATAATATCCTGCATTGTTGTTTAAAGAAAAGCTTTTTTATAGGTGTAAAAGCTTATTTTTTATTAATATATATTTTATCTTCAAATTAAAATTTGGTTCTTATAAAAGCTTCTGTAACAGTTTTTTTTTTTTTTTTTGTATATCAAAAAGAAATTTGACATTGTACTTACAACTTTCTTATAAGACTTACAAATCTCAATTAGAGATATAGTTAAAAGGGGTAAAAAAGTGAAGTACAATGAAGTACAATTAAAAGGTGAAGTACAATGAAGAAATGCTGGTGGTAGATATGCATTAATAAGGAAATAAAAACTTTTAAAAACCTACCAGAAAGACTAGAAATCCAGCTCATTTCTTTATTCATAAAATATGCAGTAAAAACCCAAACAAGTGTCGAAGCCAAAACAAGCAATAACAAAAGTACAACAAATGTCTCATGAACACGAGCACGAATTCCCTGAAAGAGCATTTTTAAATGGTAAATTTATATATTTTTTATGTTAATTCACCTCCCCAAGACCAAAAATACCACTACAGTCAAGGAGGCTACTTTAATTGTGGTTACAACCCTCTCTCAACCCTATAACTCCAAAACACGAACCTTGACAAAAAAGGCTGCTGGGCGCAGAAACAAGTTGAAAACAAGTTGTTTTGCTTTAATTCTGTTTTTTAAAAACAGAATAAAACAACAAAAATTATGCTTCAGTGTTTTTCTAAGGATTCATTTCATTGCTATTTTAATAAAAATATGTTTGCATATGATATTAGCATTGGCTTAACCAGCAACTTTTTGCAAAAAAAAAAGGTTTTTTTTTTTATTGATTTACTGATTTTTTTTGACCAGATCCATAAATAGCTTTCAGATTTTTTACCTATATTATGAAAATAATTAAATGCTAAATAAATTAAACTCCATAGATTACTGAGGGTGTTTTGGGTAAGAGCTCAACATTTACGCTTTTGGACCATATAATTACAAATAAGAAATTTATAGAGGTACTATAGATATAAAAATAGAGAATGGAATCAGAAGTAAAAAATGGTAAACACAATGAAGAGAAAGGGCAGACTTTAGCATCACTTTGATATGTCAAACTTCCATCTAGTGCACAATGAAGCCATTTTGATACATGGATAACAAGTCAGGTATAGAGCAAAAGGAATGAAACCAATTGATTGTGAGAGAGTAAATTACTTGATTCAAGATGAGATATTATAAGTTAGACTAAAGATCTAAGTTTGACACCTCTTGTTAGATCTTGCTAACAATAGTAAGAAGACTGGTTAGGCAATGGGTCCAAACCACAAGCTGAAAAAAAAAAAAATTTGAGAAACAACATCAGCCTGAAGTTCTCTGGGAAAAAAGAATGCAGTCAATATTGTGAGATGTCAATGTCAAGAGGAAAAGTCAAAGGAAAAAAAAGCCATTGAGTGAAGAGCTGTTAAACAAAACCACAAGAAAAAATAGTGAATCCAATATTTTTTTGTGATTTATGTACTCAAAAGTAATTTTTATTAAAGAAATGGGTATTTTTTTGACTACTAAAAAACATTTAACAAATTGGTAATAAATTTTATTAAATAATTTGGTGATAAAAAATTTGGTGATTCCTCTTTTGCCTCTATAATTGCAAGAACCTTTTTGGCATACTTTTGATGCATTTTTCAATCATTTCCTTCAATTTTGTTATATGGCCCCAATGGTTAATAATTCTTTTCATTAAATGCTCTTTATTTGTAATATTTTCTTTAGATATTTGCTTATTTAGGAGTGCATAAATATTTTCTATAGTATTAAGGTCAGGAGAGTTTCCTGACCAATCAAGTAATGGAATATTCTGTTTTGATAAATATTTCTTAATTGATTTAGCAGTGTGACATGGGGCCCCATTCTGCATGAAAGTTTTTTTCACCTGGACCAAACCATTCTTCAAATTGTGGCATCAATCTTTGTTCTAGGACTTTTTTATACTGTGATTGATTAATGATTCCCTTGATAATATAGAGCCTCCCCATTCTCCTTCCACATATCACTGACCAGATCATTACAGAGGTGGGGTGTTTAACAGTTTGAATGATGCAGTCCAATAAGTATTTTTCTCCTTTTTTTTCTATTTACATATTGAACCCTTTTCGTTAACACATGGAAAGTGCTCTCGTTGCTAAAGGATACCTTAAAATATTAAACAAGGATTGTTAAGTAAATCTTTAAAGTTTGATGTAAGAAAGTGGATATTTTATAATTATTTAAAATTAATTTTACCAATTTGCAACCATCTTCTGTTAAATTCCTGTACTATTTTGCCCACTCCAGCCTTCTTTGCATCATTTTTGATGTCAGTTTAGGCTTCTTAGCACGACATTATGAAATTTAACCAAGACCGTGTAGGCGACATTGAATCATTTTCTTTGACATTTTGATTCCAGATTGGTCCAGCTTTTTAGTTATTTCATTGTTGATGGCCTTTCTATTTTCTAGAACAATCTTGGTTAGTATTCTTTTCTCATGTGGTATTAAGATTCTCTTCTTTCCACATTTACCAACCCTCTTTGGCGTCAAGTTCTCCATATTAGCCAATTTTGTGTGTACATTTTTTACAGAAAGCCAAGAAATACCACATTTTCTGGCAATTTCTCATTGAAAAAGATTAGTATTTATTAAAAGTGCCCTGATTTAATCAATTTTTTGTGGTAACAAGTCCTTTTTTTTTCCCATAACTAAAATAAAATATTACATTTCAGTACTACAGTTAAGTATTTGCTTTGGTACTCATAACTTAAAAATATCAAATCAAATTAAAAATATTAGATATATCAATCTTTTAAAATTAAAAATATCAAATTTTTCTTTTAAAATGAAAAGAAATATTTAAGAAACAATATTTTTACTAATTTAAATAAATATTTTGAAGATAACCTAATGAACAAATTCAAAATTCTGGTAATAAAACTCAACAAGTGTACAGCAAAAAGATTTTAATTAAGATGACATCATACAAAATGGCCGTCAAAAGTGACAGTGTTGCCAATAGCAAAAAAAGAAGCACTGATTTTATGAGTTGAAACTTTATTTTAAACAAAAGATTAACAATAATGAATTTTTACTCTTCATATGAATAAAATGAGATTAAACTTTAAAATGATCAAAATTTATAGAAGTCCATAATAAATTTTCACATGACTGTAAGTATAGGCCTAGGCCGAGTATATGACTTTTGGAATTTTGAAATCAAAGTATAACAAGTTTGGAACAAACTAAATATTATTATTATTATATTATTAAACAAAGTATAACAAGTTTGGAATTTGAAATCAAAGTATAACAAAAATCAACAACCAAAAAACTGCTGAACTTAAAAACTTAAACTGGTTTTATAAAGAGCAAGTAGGTCAGATAATACTACCAGCAGCCTCAGTATCACTAAATAAGGTTTTTGAGGGATATCCTTATTAGAAAATTGCAGAAAGAGTTGTACAAACATTACCAAAAAAGCACAATAAAAAAAAATTAAAAAAGTCAAGAAAATCCAGCATTAATCATTTTATGCAGGAAAAAATATAACACAGGTTTAAACCTATGTTAGGCTGTAAGATAACGAAGGAAAGTGGTTGAAGAAGGAAAGTGCAAAGTGGGATAACAATTATTTTCTGCTTACCCTTAATATATGTATGTATGTATGTATGTATGTATGTATGTATGTATGTATGTATGTATGTATGTATGTATTTATGTATGAATGTATATATGTATGTATGTGTGTGTATGCATGTATGTATGTATGTATGCATGTATGCATGTATGCATGTATGCATGTATGCATGTATGTATGTATGTATGTATGTATGTATGTATGTATGTATGTATGTATGTATGTATGTATGTATGTATGTATGTATGTATGTATGTATGTATGTATGTATTTATGTATTTTTTTATGTATGTATGTATGTATGTATGTATGTATGTATGTATGTATGTATGTATGTATGTATATATGTATGTATGTATTAGGGCTGGTCATTATTTCAAATTTTACCAGTAAATGCTTAGGCCATATGATTTTTAAATGTTTTGGCCCTTATACAAAAGTAATCTAAAAAAAAAATTTATTTTTAGGTTTTCAAATTTTGACCTAAAAAATCGAGGTTTTGGGTAAAAAGCGCTATATACGCGGTTTGCCACAACTTTTGACCGGTTGAACTCAAAAATGTCTTTTATGGAATCCTTGATCCCAAATACCCCTAATTAGACACCTAGATAATCATTTTAGCTTAAAAACTTATAATTATAAAAGTTTACAAAAATCGTTATTTTTGATATATTTTGCTGTAATATCTTCCATAACAATGTTATGTGAATGTAATGCAGCAAAACAGTTTCCAAGGATTTCTCAACCACAACGTGAGGCACAAACAATTAGAAACATGAAAAATCATTAATTATTGTTTATAGCAGTATTTACCAATTTATCATTCACAATGCAAGAGTAAACTTAATTTTACTGAATATACAATAAATATAAACTTATTGCTTAAAAAAGCTTAAGCAAATTCTGTTTAGATTCTAAAACAGGAAGAAGTTCTCTGTGAGCTATTGTTGCCTTTATAAACCCGTCTTGTCTTTCCTGTCCATACACTATACTAGAAGCTCTTGTAACTTCTTTCACAATTCTTTCTATGGATTGCCCATGTACAGGAAATTCTGGAACTTCCATTGGGACATATAAAAATTAATAAGTTCTTCTTTACCAATCTTGCATGTAAGCAAAGGTTCATAAATATCATTACTCCAATCAATCAATTCAATAATAGTTTCAGTATTAGTATTTATATTTGGGATATTTCTTGGTCTAACAGCAGTAATTCCTAGGGAGTTCGAACTCCTTATTGAAAGTATTTTATTCACTGCAAACTTCCTCTCCTCTTTATCTTTGCTGCATAGTAGTAGATTGTAGTTCATAGTAGTGCTTGTAGAATAGATTCACTATGAGCATTCCAGGCAGAGGAGTAAAAATAGGGCAAAACTGCTTGTTGAATATTTAAGTTCATTTTTCAAACAAGTTCCAGCTGTTTGATAATATGCTATGGTCCGTTGGTCCATTAATGTTTTAGTAAAACATCAATAATACATTTTTCAAAAATAAATAGACGATTATCAAACTACATATAAACATTTCTTACTTTAATTTCAAACCATAATACAGAATATAAGAACCAACACAAAACTGTACAAGTTGTTTAAAATTCTCAACATCCTTTTTATTTAGTCCATGCTCTAAACACCAAATTCTGCAAAGTCTACTTGCCAAATTTAATCAGCGTGCGTTATTGTGGGGACCAACTTTAATTTTTTTTAAATTTTTAAGCATTATTTTATTTTCAATAGCTTTTTTATTCGGTATAGATATTTTTGATCACTCAATAAAATTTTTAAAATATCTTCATCAATATCAAATAAATTAATTTCAGTATCTATATCTTGAATCACAGTGGAAATTATGTGATCATTGGCAATAGAAACAAGTTTACCAATATTGCCAGAAAACTTGTTATTTGAAGTTAATTCAATCGTCAATAATTGACATTAAGTGCCTCAAGGTTAGTTCATTTGTGTGCAAAGCGCAAACTATCCAAATAAGTTTTGTTTGAAGTTTTTTTTCTAAAAAATGAATGATACCTCCTTTCCAACCTAAAAAATAATTGTGTTTAAATATATGTATGACATTTATTATTAAATATTTACCTGTATTCATTATCAATCATTTACCTGTATTAAGATTGATAGAATCACAGACACCAGCAACTAGAGTTGATTCTATCCCATGTTCAATAATCCATTTATATATATGTTCTGCTATGTGCTCTGCTGGGGTATTACACTCAGATCGGTTTTCTTTATCATTTGAAAAATGGTACAGATAAATATCACCTGGCTCTGCACAAACCGAATAATGGTCTTCTTGAACAAGTCTGTGGGGAAATTTTCCATCTTCTCCTATCAAAGAACATTTTGTCTCATCCTTTCTTCCATCAAATAAAATACATTGAACTCCATCTTTTACAACATTATCATTTTCAGATTTTAACTGTTTCATCACCTTCAATTTAGATCTTTCAATTTTCTTATGATCTGTCACTATTTCACTGTCAAACACTTTCTTTTTAAGAAAGCCTGCTTCTTTAGCTGCTTTCAGTGCTAATGTTGAAATAAGATCAGTTGCTCGATTTGATACCCCATATCTTATTGATGCTAATGCAACTTCTTCCATACTCAATGTCTTTTTCGAAACTTGTCTACTAATGTATTCAAAACTATTGTCAGAAACAACATCTTCATCGTCAGTATTCGCAATATTATCAATTGTTTCTTTGATTTCATTTTCTTGAGAATGAAAAGATAGGTATTCTATTTGTGGCTTCTTTTTTCCAGTGGCCTTTTATTATTTTTTTCTTGTCTATTGGTTTCTTTAAAATCTGAAGCACCCATTTGCATACTACTTTTTGTTCTAAATTTTTCTCTTTGAAATTTCATAAACTGAAGTTTTATTGTAGGAATTTGTTTTCTCTATTGCATTGACAAGAAATATGCACTTTAAACTTACAAGAATTACAATTTGCCTTCTCACAAGAAACAATGTCACACTTGCACTTTGCTATATCAAATAGCTAGTCCAGAGTAGAGTTAAACTTAGAAATAATTTCAGGTTTACACCTGTAGTTAATAATATCGGTAGCTTTTTTCCATACTTTTTTTATTTTGTTAACACCCACTTTGTCCGTCACAATAGGAATTTCAGGATTCGCTTTCAACCATTGTGTTTTCACTTTAGAGAAAACCTTTTTGCATGTATCTTTAAGTTTTGCATTTGCTTTGCAGTTATCTCTTCTTAGAAGCAGACCATACTTAATAACATCTCTTAATGTGGGTAATTCAGAATCTAAAAACTCACTTGCAAAACCCATCATAACACTTAGTTTGCAACTTTGACTATTTTTACGTGTTTGTTTAGCCATTGATAAAGAACTCAAAGTTATCAGTAGTTTAATCAATATATATATATATATATATATATATATATATATATATATATATATATATATATTATATATATATATATATATATATATATATATATATATATATATATATATATATACATATTGATTGTTTATGTATTATATAATATTAAAATAATACAAAAACTCTTGAACGTAAAATATTGCTCAATATTACAATAAAAGAGTAATAAATATTTAAACTTTGTTAAAATGAAAGAACAAAATTATTAATAGTAGTTAAAGCTTCATTCCATACATGCAACTCTTTTACAAATGAATAAAAAATTATGGTAGAACAACTTTGACATACTAAAAGATGTAATTATTTAGTCTCCGGTATCAAAAGAGGACAGTAGAAATTTGTTGGAATGTCAACACTTGGATAATATTTCGTCTTTTTTATTAAGCAGGTTGTTTTATTTGCAATATAAACAAATTTCTACTGTCCACTTTTTTTTTTTTTTTAATTTTTTTTTTATTTGCATTCACTCCCAACAAGGTTGTATGAGTCAGAAAAACATGAAGATGGGAGAGAGTTCTAAAGGATTGAAGTGCGAGGAAAAAAACTAGATGAATAAAAGTTTTTAGAGCATGCAGGGACAGATACAGTAAAGGAATTAGACTTAGCTGAATGACGAGTAAAACGAGAATGAATTTTAGTTGATGGAACTAGAGATGATAACTCCTTTGAGCAGTGACCATGATAGTATTTGTAGAAAAGAGAAAGAAATGCAACTTTACGACGATGGGAAAGAGGCTCAAGCTTAGCAGATAGTCCAGGTCCAACAACATTTGCAATGCGTTTTTGATACCAGATTTTTGATACCTTTACCTTTTTGATGCCAGATTTTTGATTCCTTTTTGATACCAGATTTTGATACCTTTTGATACCAGAGACTAAATAGTTACATTTTTTATTACATCAGAAGTTGTTCTACCGTCATTTTTAATTCATTTGTAAAAGAGTTTGTTTTTAAACGGTTTTTTCTAACAGGTTTTTTTTTTATGTATTTAACAGCTGATGATTGCCCTGTATGGCAGGAAACTTTGAATACTATTAATAACATTTAAACCAAGGTTTATATATATATATATATATATATATATATATATATATATATATATATATATATATATATATATACATATATATATATATATATATATATATATATATATATATATATATATATATATATATATAAATATATATATACATATATATATATATATATATATATATATATATATATATATATAATATATATATATATATATATATATATATATATATATATATATATATATATATATATATATATATATATATATATATATATATATATATATATATGTATATAAAGAAACCAAGAAATTACTAACTTAAAGAATTTTTTTTATATTTTACCTTCTTTGATCCAGAAAATCCTTCTGATTCAGTAAAAAACCAAGCAAATGGCATTGCTAAAAACATAGCAATATATGTCCCCAAAAAGATTTGATTCCACAATGCTTAAAACAAATTTTTTTATTATAGTATTATACGAAAATCAATTCTTTACCTTTTGTTCTCTCAAAGGCAATAAAAAATAGATTTACATACATACATACATACATACATACATACATACATACATACATACATACATACATACATACATACATACATACATACATACATACATACATACATACATACATACATACATACATGTATTTAATTCTATATTTAACTTACCATGTATTAAAGACTCATTTAACCAAATTACATAGTAGCTATTAGGGTAGTATAAAAGAATCTCATTGCTGAATATTGAAAAGGGCAGCAACAGAACTGCACCAATAGAAACAGCCATTGTAAAGCAACATAGCCAAACCCTAGAATAATAAACATCTTTAAAATAAGTAAAAAGTAAATGTCAATATTTTCAATATAAATAAGAAACAATAAAATGTTTAATAATATAAGTAATTAAAAATACATACGCAACTCTACACACAAAATCATCTTCATACTCTAAAATAAAATTCAAAGATGTTTTAAAGATGAATTAAAAAGCTGTTTTACAGTTATACAGCTTTATAAATATTAAATTTTTTAAAAACATATTGTTGAATGCGATAATAATTTTTATTAAGTTAATAACATTAATTTAATAAAAACAATTTAGTTAAATTAATAACTATAATTAATGTTCTTTTAAAAACTCTTTCAATTTCATTGATTTAGTTACGTAATTTAATGCTAGATCAATTAACAACACCAAAATTAATTAGCAACACCAAAATTAATTAACAACAACAAAATTAACAACAACAAAATTAACAACAATAAAATTAATTAACAACACCAAAATTAATTAACAACACTTTTCTTCAAAAGATTTTGACATTATACTCATAACAGAAACTAAAAAAAAAACACAAGATTTTTAAAAATAAAAAAAACTTAAATGTTTTATTTATTGTGCACCACTAGTAGGACTGGATATCTTGGATCTTATAGATGGATATCTTGGATCTTTTGGATGGATATCTTTTGGATCTTTTGGATGGATATCTTAGTACAGACAGTTGTAAAAAAAACCAAATCTTTTAATGATTTTTTTCTTTTTCTTTTTTGTCATTCAAAACAATATTGCATCTATCTACCACACATTATCTAAATAACTTTTTCTTAAAAAACCAAAGTATTACTTCTTCAAAAGCTCCCAACAAAGACGTCCATCAAAGACTTCCAAATCATCTGATGGCTGGATCCAACCAAATTTAAAAATCAATTACAAATGTCACTGCTACTCCTTTTTCTATTCTGTTTAAAAAGTTTTACTAGAAAACTGTAAAAATTTAAACGTATTTCTATGATAAGCATTATTTGTAAAGTTATTAAGTCCATTATTGTGAATTACATATTACTTATTAATGAACAAATTCATTTCATCAATACTGATTTTTAAAGTATAGATCTATGTGTAAACAGATTTTGACAACCTTAAATGAGTGAATTAATTTATTCCAAATCATTGTTCAAACTACAGTTAAAAAGTTTTAAGTATGAACATCTAAACTGAATAAAAACTTCTTAAAAAAATGTTCTCAATGTAACTGGTAACTTGCATTCAATAGCCATTCTGGTAAAGATTTGAATATCTCAAGGAACTGTGTTAGAACCTATTTTTGTTTTTAGTTTTTGTAAGCATTGTAACTTTCAGTTTTTATGTGGTTATGGTATCAAGCTGCTTACAGTCAGAAAGTTGTGAAGTAAGTCATGCAAGAAAATATGAAAACAATAAACACTTCATCAATACTTTTTAAAAATTTACAGAATGATCGTATAACTTTTAACTCCACTACTAAAAAGTGTTTTCATTTAATCTATGAAAAGAACTCTTTAACTTTACATTTATACTTTTTGTTTTCTAATATAAAATTTACTAATCGCTATTCTTGTATTACTGGTAAAGCTAATTTTTGTGTTTATTTTTAAAACCCTTAATCAGTAACAATTCTCAACTTTTGATTAAAAACAAAGTTTATTTATCAATTATTTTCTTATTCCTCAGCAGCCCTTGGAATTAGGGTCAGCATTCGGCAATGCAAACTTTACTTCTGACCTGACAGTGTCTGAGGTTGGTACTTTTTTGCCGACCTCAGAATTTTAAAACTTTATTTTATTTGCTATTTCAAACAAACTAAAAACATTAGAACAATTGTTTTATTATAATTCTAAACAAAATAAATAATTTTAAAACGGAATAAATAATTTTATCTAAATTCTAAATAAACTAATTAAAATAAAAGCAACAAAACAAACTTTTTAATTATATTCTAAATATGAACCTTTTATTTAAATAGTAAACAAAACAATTATAATAAAATAAGAATAATGAACATTTTATTCAAACTCTAAATAAAATAATTAAAATAAAAATAAAAACACTAACGTTTAAATTAATTTTATAAAAAACCAATGGAAAAGTGATCATTTTATTTAAGTTCTTAATAAAATAATTATAGTAAAAATGGAAAAAATGCTAAAATTTCCCGTGTTCATTAACTTTGTCAAGGTCTGTTTCTAGAATTTGTGCCAATCTGATGCCGACCTAAAACAGTTTTAAGTCAGTAATTTTTTGTCGATCTTATATTTCCTAATTCTGAGGGCAGCCTTAGCGTAGATATACCTCCTATCTTTTAAATGATACAAAAATGAAGCAAAGGTTCATAAATATTTTAATAGAATTGCCTGTAAGAGATATTGTAGTCCTTATAAAGATTATCTTTCAAGACATATTACTTTCAAAATCAACATTTTAGAATATTGTAGGAAAAAGATTGAGTTTTTAATGAACCAAAAAATTATACAAAACCTTGAAAAAATTTTATATTCAAAAATACATTTTATGTTCATAAAAAGACCTGAGCCAATCTTTGTGGCATTTCTTATGAATTTTAAATTTATAAAAAAGCCTGTCCTGTTGTGTCAGGCTTTTTTATGAATATAAAATGTTTAATGCATAAGTGTAATGGAATATGAATACTCATTCAGGCTTGGTCGGGAAGCGGGTGTGATCGCATTCTATTCTTGATCATGCAAATTATATTTAGTTGCAACAACTTGGCCATGACTTTTTAGACGTTATGAAAACATTAAAATTTATGTATGTTACCATGTATGTCTAAAACCTTTTTAAACTCATAAAATTAAACACAGTTAAACTCGTAAATAATCTTTTTTAATCAAATGTTTATAAATTAGCAAAGCACTTTTAAATTAAGCAACGATTTACTTTTATTGATCGTTATTAAAAAGAAAATGTTTAATTTAATTTTTTAAATTTTATAAAGTTAATTAAGTTTAATTAAAAATTATATAAATAATTATATATATATAAAAATATAGATTAATTTTTTATTCTTTAAATGTAAATCTTCTAAAAATATTTGTACAATTGATTTTATAAAAAAAAAGACTTTCAAGAACAACTGCATTTTCAATAAAATTTACAAAAATAATAATAATCAATGTTAATAAAATCCATAATCAAATAAACATACAGAAACTTACAGGTGACTGAACTAAACATATATATATATATATATATATATATATATATATATATATATATATATATATATATATATATATATATATATATATATATATATATATATATATATATATATATATATATATATATATACATAGTGAATTATGAATAGATGAACACTGAACTAAACATACATATATACATAGTGAATTACGAATAGAGAACACTGCGCCAGAGGGTTCACATACATTAACATAAACATACATTTATATAAAGTGACTAACATGTAATAAGCAGGTACTAAAGGGGAATAAACAAATATATTAAAAAGCCTACTCCCTAAACATCATCCACAGTATTTGGAAGCAGTTCCGCTTTTTCTTCATAAATATTTTTTACCTCATTTTAATTTATAATATATATTGTAGTATAATAAACCAATGGACTCAAGTAAAATATAAAATTATTAAATGTACACATAGTCTGTAGTTTGGATACTGATTATTATAGACTGCTGTTTCAGGGGTCTGGCCATGAAACAGCAGTATATAATGATCTATATATGATTTTTTTTATACATTTTAAAGACACTAAATTTTATAAAAAAATAATAAAGAAATTTAGAAATAATTTATTCTTCATTAAAAAAATTTTTTTTAAATTAATTTTTTTTTTAATTAATTTTTTTAGTAATTGTCTCTGTCTAAGTTTTGATTTTTGCACTTTTTGAAATGTTCTCAAAACATCTAAGAAGCCGTGGCCATGTTGTCACAACTAAATATTATATGTGTGGTCAGATATAGAGTGCCATTGCACCCGCTTCCCGACCAAGCCTGCTCATTAAACAATTTTTATTTACTATTTAAATTTTTGTCGCCATTACTGATGTTTTTAAACTACTGCGATATACTAAAATACCACAACACTAGTTTAATTGAAAAAAGCAAAAAGTTTATCTACTAATGTAGAAAAATTTATCTACTATTGTAGAACAGTTTATCGACTAATGCATAAAATTTTATCTGCCAAAAAGTTCATCTGCCATTGTTATTTAGTCCAAACCAAATGTTTATTTTGTTTCAGTATTTTCAAAATATATTTTTATTTCTTTTCTTAACATTTGATGCAAACTTTTTTTTTATCTGTAAAAACTAAATGAACAAAAATATATGATTTCTTAAACGTTTTTTTCCATTTTTTTAAACATTTTTCTGGGTATAACAATTACTTTCTATCATAAAAAATTCTAAATATCAAAAATAAATTTTCATTCCTTTAGTTTCCAATGCCAATGCATATGCTCTTTAATGTGGAATTAAATTTTGGGCTGTTTTCTTGAGAATTCCATTATAGAAAACTTCATTAATGTGGATAAAGATAATTTTAAATTTGTTTAGATATCATTAATTGCAATGACATCTAGACCTCTGAGCCAATTTTTAAAGAAAAATATGGCTGGCTAGTTATTAAAATTGGCTCACTAGCTGGTTGATTTCAGTTAGCCATTTACAAACCAGCTGATTATTTTTAATAAAAGAGATAAGCTGAAATATTAGTGAGATAATCTGTACTTTTTTAACAAGATCATGATCAAAATCAAAAACAATATTTATCTAATGAACTGCAAGTTGTCATTAATAAGCATCTTTAGCTGAATTAGCATCTTTTAATATGGATGAACTTATATGTATCATGATTTTTTTTTTTAATTACAAAGCTTAAAGCTTTAAATGGTTGAGCTCAAATTTTTGAGAAATTACTTTTTTATTATTTTCTCCGAATCAGAAAAAAAAGTGAGTGAGGTGTCATTATTTAAGATTTAAACACAAATTGCATTTTGTTTAACTATCTAAAACAATTCATTAGTGTATAATAAAACTTTATAATCATAATTTAATATAAAAATTTTTAAAAAACAAAAGTACAAACCTTCTTCTCGACTCTTTTTCTTAAGATGATTGATAAGCAGGTATGAAGAAAAATATAGGCAAATAAATGTTAACAAAGATATCTGAAACAAGAAAAAATAGGTAATAGTATTTGCGTAAATACTAAATATAAAATTAAATCAAAACAAAAAAGTATTTATAATAATTGCGTAGATAACTATTGAAAAATTCTTGAGTTTATTAAAATTGTGACTATATAATTTATACCATTAAAATATTTAAAATTTAGAATTTATAAAGATTTAAACTTGATTTCATAGCTTCGCAAAATTAAAAAAATTATCATTTCTATAAGATTGTTTTTGGTCATATATCTTTAAATAAAGTTTTAGTTTAATTTTAAAAGTTTCCATTAATTTTTTTTAGTTTTTACTAAATAAAATAATAACATCATGAAACTTTAAAGTTCACTTTATTTAACTTTTATAAGCAAAAGTTATAGTTAACAATTGATTACAAATTACAAAACTACTTTTTAAGGTGACAACTTACTCAGGTCAGTCATACATATTTTTTTTTAAAGCTATGTCAATTTTTAAGCACAAACATTATATTATATATGTTTGTGCTTAAATATATGCATACTTATTACCATATATAGAGTCTTCTCCATTTAAAATTTAATGCTAGCGCACAAAAAAGCACAGGCAGGATTGTCATTTTTAATTTAGCCTGAGCAATTTAAAAAAAAATTTTTTTCCTGCTATTTAAATAAGAATAAAAATAGCAAAAAGAATGCTTAGAACAAAAATAAATAAAATAATTTAAAAAAAAAACTGGTAAAAAACACAAAAGTTTTGGAGAAACTAAATGGAAAAAGACTGTTTCTTTTTTAAATTAAAAATCTTAAAAAATTTATTTAGTGTGTGCTAAAAAAAATTGTTTGATTAAATGTAATATTATGATAAAAAAAATTAAAAAAATAAAATCAAACAGTATTTTCAAACAGCAATAACTATTCTGTAGAATTGTTCTATATAATGTTATAAGTTAAATATTTAGTTTGTTAAAAAGCAGGCAAAATATGTGTTGCAAAAAAAATTAATATGTTCAAGTTGAGTTCAAGTTGAGTTCACATAAAGATTCAAATTAAACATAGAAAAAATAGACACAAACATAGGAAAAAACAGACACACAAAGTGAAATGCATACAAATAGTTCTAGGCGTAAAAAAAAAGTGCAGTGTAACTTAGAAAAACTATTATCTTAACTTTACAAGTATTTAACTCATCTAATAAAAGTCTAATTACGAAGTTCTTTTCAATAATTTATCAATTTCCTACTACTTATTATAGCGCTAATCAAAATTTTCATTTTTAATGACATTTTTATTCACAAAAAAAGAAATGAACTTTTATAATAATACATGGAGAATTAATTGTTTATATAATTATAAATATATTGTATAACAGTATTTTTATATTTTTGTCTCATCAAAACTATTGATTTTGTTATAACATTTTATATCATCACATATTTATCTAATATTTAAATTATTAAATAAATACAAAAATAATAAAATAAAAATTAATTAAAAAAAAAAAAGATAAAACAAATAAATAAAAATTTTTAAATGCCTGTTTTTCTAACTTTTTATTGCTAAAAAAATAAATACTATCCCTTAAATGAAGAAACAAAAAAAAGTACAGTGTTAGAATATTAAAAATTATCATCAAAACATAATAATTTAAGTTTCTCAAAAGCCAGCGCAAGACTATCTATTTCATTTTAGACATGCTATTCATAATTCCTGCACTCAATTGCAGCTGCCAAAGCCTGTGTACATTTATATGAGAGAACCTTAAAGCTCTAAACATTAGTTACTGATAAAATAAACTTTAAATATCAGTTTGATTGTTAAAAAATATTTACTTTTATAAATAATATCAATGTATCTGCTATGATAACTTGAATATAGTCAGGGACTATTCTAGGAAAAAAGTATGGGTCGCGGTACCTTTCTGTCCCGGAGAAATTTAGCGGAAGTATTGCCAAATATTTAAAAATATAAGTGTTTTTTCGCAGAAAAAACAATATTTACTGTAAAAAATATTAAAAAAAAAGGTCCTTAATTTTTAATTTGGATGGCGTCTAAATCAGTGCCTGAATACGATTGACGCTGTCAAAAAGGGTCTAGAATAGCCCGTGGTAGTTAATAAAATAAATAATGTTATTGCCTGCTCCAAACATTCTCAGGCCTCAGCAGGAGTAAATAAGTGCAAGAGCAGAGAAAATTCTCCTAAATTAAACATGGTGAGCCATGCAAGCTGTTCCTCTAAACAGCTTTTCATAAGAACTTTGTGTTTTTGAATGAGCTATTTGTTTATTCATTAAATAAATTCCTCATTAAATACAAAATTTAATTTTATACTTGTTACAATTTATTTTTTCATAATAGGATTTTTCTAAGAAACAAATTTTTTATTTAAGAAACCAATCAGTTAATCTAATCTAATTAAAAACATTGCATTTCAATTGGCACTCTTTTTTAATTTTTTTTTTTTTTTTTAATGCAATAACCATGCTTTTATAAAGCATAGCAGTTTATCATGGTATTATTAGTTTATTTTATTTAGTTATTTGTTTATTTTTGTATGCAAAAAAAATCAATCTGAAACTCAAACTTTGTCTTTTTTTTCTATATAGTTTGCAAGTTTTTTTAAATTTTTCTAATCAGTATCTTAAAAAAATAAAAATAAAAGTAGTTTATATTTATAGAAAAATTATACTCTTGCGAGAGCCCTAAATTGCTCCTGTAAACTACTTTAGGGAAGTGTGTGCAAGATCAAAAGCAAAAGCTCTTGCTTCCCGCCAAGGCCTTCATCCTTATATTTTACAATTCCTATGACTGCCTTAGATCTAAGTTTCTGCTCTACAAATCTCTTTTAATATCTGCTTTACACTTTTTTAATGAAATGCTTTAGCACTCGTATATGCTGGTACAGTAATATTTTTTACTTACTTTAAATGATTATTGTAGCACTTGCGAAAAAAATGTTTTTTTTCTTATTTCTAAATTATTTATTACTAATGTCTCTATATAAAGTATTAAGGTATTTAATAATATTGTATATTCGATTACATTATATTAAACTTTATTTTTTTTATATAAAAATTCATGCCCAACAAGATTGCAGGCAATAACATTTTTTTTTACATAAAAGAGCACAATGTAAATTTTAAAATTAAAGACTTTTACAGTGCTCTCTTACATAAGAAAAAAAAAATTGGTCACCTTGCTATAAATGTATGTTAATATAAGTGTATAATCTGATAAAACTGTGTTCACAATTTGTAAAGATTTAGGAGAAACTTTGAAAGTTAAGCATGTATGTTTGAAACAACTAAATCATTATAAGTAATGAATTTCACTACAAAACTATTTACTCTCCTTATTTATTTTTAGATTTTTGATTATGTAACTTTTATCTTAGCATCCAAAAAATCTAAATAATTTTTTCTCTTTTTTTTTTCTTTTTTTTTTTAGCAAATTTTTATTTTTTAGGTCAAGTTCCTGGTTTTCCTTGGTTTTTTGTCTTACTTTTATGAAAAGTTTTAAAAACACTATTTTCAAAGAAATTTAAGGCTTTTTAAGGCTAAAAACAATGAGCATGCATATACTCTTTAGATCAAAGACCAAATTACTATTTTATTATTTTTAATGTATGCCAGAAGTATAATGAAATGATATAAAATAGCACTAAGAAAATATAAATGTTTAGGTACTTACAATATATTGCCTCACACATTCGTAAAAATTCTTTTCATCTACATATTCAAAACTTTCATTAGATAACCAAATATCTGCCATTATAATTCAAAATACATTGCTAATAATAAAACAAAAAAAACTATTATATAATTATTTATAAATTTATTTTTTTTAACAAAAAACATTAAAAACAATTGCCTTAATGCCTGTAAGATTAAATTAAGCAACAACAAAAATTGCCAACGCAAATATGTACAAATAAAAGTTGAATATTTGAAATAGACAGTCAATTTTCAAATAACCAACGTGACAACTCTATCGTGAAGTCTGTTGAATTTAACAATTCAACATGTTATATTTTAACACGTTATATTTTAACAAAACTGTTTTTTTAACTGGGCTTCAAACACTTGATAATAAAATTTGAATATTAAAGCCTGATTTCAGAAAATATTTTTCATGTTTTAAAATTTGATCTTTTAGTTTTTTATACACTCTGAAATGTTTTTCTTTAAAAAAAAAATTTCGGACCTTGTTATTGACTTAAATATATCGCTTTATTTACAAAGAAGTTATTAATCTATATCCGTTAAGTTTTCGTGCGAATTGGCTGGATTGTTTGGCAAACGATTTTTTTCTTAATTACACGTTGTTGTTTTTATAAGCATAACGTTTTTAAGCATACCAGATTTTAGTAAAAAATAAGCATTGATAGGTATATTTTTGAGCTTTGATAAACCATTTAAATGGTTTAAGTTTTTTAAACTAAAATTGTAAATATTTTTCTTTAGTTTAAAGCATTAACAACAAAATTTAATTTTAAAACCATCAAATAAAAAAACATCTCTCTTTCTCTCACTGTAATCTCTTACTGTGCCTCTTATTTAATAAAATATTATTTAAAATGTGTAATTTATAGCTTAAATAACTCTTTTTTTTTTTTAGATATAATCAAGGCCGGGGCGATAGGGGTGTGTGGGGGGTGTCACACACACACACACCCTCCCCATCAATGATTTTAAGTCGGCAAACTGGACCCTTATAGTTAGTCGGCAAATGTCGACCCTTTCGATATAGGTTAGACAGTCGGCAAATGTCGTCAAGGCAGTCGGCAAATTTTGGAAAACGAGGACTTTTTTTTTTTTTTTTTTTTTTTTTAGTCGGCAAAAGTTGTAAGGGCACCCCCTCCCCCCCACGTGACACCTACTCGCGCCGCCCTGGATATAATACTGAAATAATCTTATTAAAAACATGCTTAAGTCAGGGTACAGGATTTTTTGATGTTTGAGCTAACTTCCAGGCAAGGAACATTCTCCAAAATATGTTTATACTTATGTCTAATAAGGATTTTTTTGCAAAAAATTGCAATGATTGGAGCCTGGGAACAAAAACGTCCTAAAACTTAAGCCTCAGTGGCGTTTTAAAGTAGTGACCATAATATGGTCACTACTTTAAAACGCAAAGTTTCATATTATGAAACTTAACTCAATTAGAGAGAGGGAGAGAGAATTACAAAAAGGTTTGTTTAAATTGCTTAATTTTGGCTCGGACTAATCTAAAAGATTTTTAAACATAACATACTTAGCCTTATATGCATAACAATACTCCGAAGAGTTATCATGGGAATAGCTTTAAACGTTGACCCTAACTTTTACAGAAGTTATGACGTAGCTGTAAAGTTATTAGGAACTTGATGTAAATATTGGTAATTTATTTAACTTATTTGTTTGGTATTTATTTAATCAAATTTACTTTTTATTATGTATAATTATATATACTTTTGATTATATCTAACTATACTTAATGATTAAGTAGCCGTGGCGCAGTGGTAGCGCACTTGCCTCAGAAACGTAAGATCCCTGGTTCAAACCCGAGTTTTGCGACATCGGTTGGGAAGGAGGCGTGAACTTCCTATTAAATGCTCTTCCGCGGTGTTCTGAGATAAAACCGTAAGGACTTCTTGGGGCACCTTAATCAACTTAAAAAAAAAAAAAAAAAAAAAAAAGAATTAAATTTATTTATTATTAGGTGTATATACATTAGGATGATTACTTTTATACAACCTTGTTATCCAGTTTCGTAATTTGATGAGCTTTTATTAAAGGGTATATAAAATCTTACTTTCTAGATGATTTTATAAAAAAACTCTACGCACAATGTATCTTTAAATGTTTTATTTATCAATTTTTTAACTCATTTTTTGAGGTCATTACAAATAGGCAAATACAAAATTGAATTTAAGTCTCAGAGTAATGTTTTTCATTGTAAAGATCAATTAACACACAAGTCAATTATTCGCAATAACGAATATTGGAGAAAGTTTGTATATGATGCGGTAAGAGTCGTGCAGCTTCTTGAGTACGAACCGGATAAACAGTTTTACGCAACCTTTTTAGATTTTAGGCATTATAATAAACGCACAAAAAACAAGAGAACTAGAACGGAACAAGTGTTCCAGCATGCATTATTTTTTTCAAGGTAGCGACGGAAGACACGAGTAAAGTAGTTAAAACTTTAAGTTGTCTCTCCAAAAGACTGTTTACCGTTACTAAAATCTTCTTTAAATTTTGCATAATTGTACATCAAATCTTGAACAAAGAAGCTTCATGAAATGATTTTTAAGTTCCGGTGTCTTTTTTTTTAAGCCTCATGTTACTATGCTAAAAATAAATAAACTTTAGTTTGCTTGTTTTTTTATTTAAAAATACGCTTGCTTTTCTATTTTAATTAAAAATTCAACATTAAGACTTTTAATTCCTTGCTGCTGCATGCTGGGTTTCAACTATAACTGGGGTTTAAAATGAAGCAAGACTACACTTTTAAAAACAAAAAACTTTTTAAATAAAAATGAGTCTTTTAAACCTTTTTTTTTAGAAAAATTAAACTTATGACGTTTATAAAAGAAATTTGTATAAATTTAGTTTTTTATTAGAACTGTTTGCATTTTTTAAAATTTAAATAGTAGGTTTGTAATTTCCACCATTTTTTTTTCCTCCTCCAATTCGACAAAACCGAACTTTTGAATGGAACGTCACAAAAAAATAAAAAATAAAAAGTAACTTACTGTTTAGAGGTCGTCCTTAAAGAACGTCATTCAGAATTTAAATACTAACTAGAAGAAGATATTTATTGGCTCCCTTACGCAGAGATTTTTATTGAATATGAGGCGCTATAATCCTCTAAAAATCTCTGCGCACGAGAACCAATATTCTCGAACTTCTTGTCATTAGTCAGTGTAAACTTAGCGTGACGTCCTTAATGGGTTACCCCTTATGTAGTTTTGTAGTAAAAAAAACGCATATAATTGTTCTAAATTAAGGTGGTAGGGCTATAAAAAACGATTTTTTGAGAAAATCATTGGGTCCATAGTTTTTTGTGTGTAAAAACGGCTATAAAGATGATAACAACATCTTTTTAGTAAAAAGTTTTAGAAAAATTATTACTACCAATTCAAAATGGCCGAAAAAATACTAAAAATTGCACAGTTTAAGTGCTTTTTTGTAACAACATAACTTCTTAGAGAACAACATAACTTTTGGTAAAAAAATACTAAAAATTGCACAGTTTAAGTGCTTTTTTGTAACAACATAACTTCATACAGAATAAACAATTTCTAATGACGTTTGGTAGGATTGGGTATCATCATTATATAAATCATTTAACAGTAGGACTTTTTATAAAAAATCATACTTCAGTTTTTATAAAAATTTTAAAAATACAAAAACAGTTTTGGTGAAAATTTTATCAAATTTAAACTTTATTACATAAAACTTTTGTTCTTAAACATCATAAGTTATATAATGTTTAAGAACAAATGCAAGAGTTAAATGAAGCCACCACTATATGTGAATACATCCTGAAAATTTCAAGTTAGAAGAATATTGCAATGTCAAGAAATCACGTTTTGAAATTAGCCGAAGAAGACACAAATTTTGAAACGCTTTTAATACCAATTAAACAAAAAAAAGAAGTAAAAAAACACGTGTTTTAAATAAATCCAAAAACGAGGCTTATACTTTCCAAGTATAGCTTTTAAATAGAGCAATATAAAGGAAAGTTGACAAAAATAATGAGAAACAAAAACTCTTTAAGATTTGAGAATAAATGGGCTAACAAAATAAATCACGGTAATTAAGGACGTTGTTATGAAAATTTAGAATAACCTATATGTGTTTATTGGTTAAGAAAAGCACAAATTATTATTATACCACTTTTTTAATTTTCTATATACTAAAAAAAGTAACTAAAAGTGATTGATTTTTGATGATTTTTTATAGCCCTACCAAATTAAATGTCAGCAAAATGTTTTAATTTTTGAAATTTCAAGTTTTATGAAAAATAAAATTTAGCATTCACAATTTTTCGTGAAGCAACAAACTTCCCTCAGTTCTGCAGTTGTTTTTTTTTTTCAACGGTCTGGAACAACTGAAGCAAAATTATAGAAGACATTCGGAAGGCTATCCACGGCCCTAATTAATATAATAAAATTACTAAATAAATTAGACAGAATACTTCAGTACAAGTTAGTGGTAATTGCTAGATTACTTTTAGTTACTAAAATTATTATAAAATTTAAGTTTGAAATATTTATTAAAATATTCTGTCAATAATAATCTGTATTATTTGCCGGTATAAAATGGCGTTGCATGATCAAAGTGCTAAAAACGTGTCGTTTTTAGAAACTCTGGGAGTCTGGGGTCAAAAAAGTTGGACTTCCTTAGATTTGGAACTCCAGAAATTGTTTTGTTTTTAACAACTTTTCTGAACTGATTATCTTAAGGTCGTCGACCTTACGACCACCTTAACCTTTTACAAATGTAAAGGTTTAGACTTTAGATAACTGATTTGTTAACTTCAAGTTAAGAGTTAAAAAATTTGTTATTTTTGTTCAAGGGTGTTAAAAAACTTTTTTATTTAATTTTTTGTTTCTGTTTAATCATTAAACCATTAAAAAAAATTATTATTATATATTTAACATTCAAAAAAAAAACTTGTTCACACGCAAAAAAAAGCATATCATCAGCTAAATCAGATAAAAAGTGATTTTGATTGTCCGTACTTCAACACTAAAAAAAGTCTTTTCAAGTAGAGATGTAAAAATCCGGTTACTTTGGTTAAATAAGTTTGTATTTCTTCCAAAGAGTTATATATCT